AAAGCCTGCTCTTTGTCAAAAAGGGGTAGTAGCAAGTTTAGGGAGTTGTTAATGACAAAGCACCAAAATGAGACATTTTCCTTGACATAACCGAGAAGACTAAAAGACAAATGAAAACAGCATAATTTTCCACTGTATGATTAAATACTATTAAAGATTACAATGTCCCTGAGCCACCTAAAGCATCATGTGTAAGGTGGTACACATCCCATTTGGTGGCAATACTACTGTAGGCTACAGTGCATTTTCAGAATAAATGATTGATTATAGAGGATTGTGGATAAATTCTGTGATTCATGAAATTCCTCTCAAGATTGCTGTGAAATGTGGACAATATATTCATCATACTTTATAGACTTTTTGAATGTTACTGGAATATTATTTCCCAAAATAAAAATTGCTTATGCAAATAGGTTAGGCATGGATTAAAATATATTCAACGTTTATGTATCTTTTTAGTTTATTCATTTGACCTCTAACTTAAATTCTCTTTCTATATCTTTTTCTTCTCTGTAACGAGCATATTTTCTTGACTAAGTGTAATAATGTAATAATATCTTACTTTAATGATTTCCCAAAATATATAAGCATACTACAATTTTGGCATTTCCAATCAAATGGAAGTTGTTTTTTGAAAGACATCTTTCTCTATATTGACTGTTTCATCTGTTTTCAGAGAACTCACAAGAACTCTATATAATAAAGTATGAATTAAGAGATTTTCTTCTGTTCACGATATATAGAGAAAATATTGAAGTTGTTGAGGATTTCATTTTACTTGGATCTACAATCAACGCCCAGGGAAGCAGCAGTCAAGAAATCAAACAATGTATTGCACTGGGCAAATCTGCTGCAAAAGACTTCTTTAAAGTGTTAAAAAGCAAAGATGTCACTTTGAGGATTAAGGTGCACCTGACCCAAGCCATGGTATTCTCGGTCGCCTCATATGCATGTGAAAGCTGGACAATGAATAAGGAAGACCAAAGAAGAATTGATGCATTTGAATTATGGTGCTGGCAAAGAATATCGAATATACCATGGACTGCCAGAAGAACGAACAAACTTGGAAGAAGTACAGCCAGGGTGCTCCTTAGAGGAGAGGATAGTGAGGCTTCTTCTCACTACTTTGTACATGTTATCAGGAGGGACCAGTCCCTGGAGAAGGGCATCATGCTTGGTAAAGTCTAGGGTCAGTAAAAAAGAGGAAGACCCTCAATGAGATGGACTGGCACAGTGGCTGCAACAATAGGCTCAAACATAGCAATGATTGTGAGGATGGTACAGGACCGGGCATTATTTCATTCTGTCGTGCATGGGGTTACTTTGAGTCAGAACCAACTCAAGGGCACCTCACAACAACAACGACAGCAGTCAGTGTTTATATTTTATATTTATGCTACACAACCCTCTTTGCAGATCTGAACATGGCTAATTCTCTCACATATCTTGCAGTTTTCCTGGAAATCAGGTCTTACAGCACTGTTACTTTTGGTAAGAAACAAGAGGTACAGAAGTGGCTATTTGTTTTCAGTACTGCTTAACCTAAAAAAGAAAGTGCTTATTTCTCCTGCTGTGGAGTGAATGGCGGGTACGAGCCAGATCTAAAAATAAACTGGATTTCCTTTCTTATTCATCGGTAATTAAACCCCCTTTGTAACTTCCCATTACCACCTCAAGAGTTATAGGATGAATAAATAATATATATTTTTAAATGTGGCAAAAACTAACAAAGAAGTAGCCAGGGCTGCATCTAATTTATCAACTTGGTGATTAAAAGGCTGGCTCTTGAGGCTCCAGACATCTAGGGACCAAGAGATAAAACAGAGCAGTTGGCTATGTTTCTACTAATGAATCTAGGGCGTGAAAGATATCAGGCCATTTTAAAGAAAAGCAGCGAGGACAAGAGACATTAGACAAGGCCAGTAGGGTAATGAAGGGCAAGGCCAGTTACTGAGAGAGAAAATTACTTCATTTTCTGTGATAATGCTTCTGCGTGCTTGGCAGGTCTCTTCTGGTGCTTTGTTAGTATGACTACATATACATATGGCATCATAAGGCTACTCACAGTGTACAGGGAAGAGCCTTGGAACATTCCACAGAGGGGCAGAGGGATTGGGTCTATTATTTTGAAAGGGGGAGGCTAAGAACAATGGTAGCAGAAGGGGGTTAGACTGCCAGGTAAGGGACGGTGCTTCGAAAGAATGTGAGGGACAGACGGGATTAAATCAGTACAAAAGACACAGCAAGGAAAAGAAAGAAAAAGACAAGCAAACATACTCTGGAAATGTGGAATTGTTTGGGGGGTGTGTGTGGTGGGTCAAAGAATGGGACCAGCACAGTGGCAGTCAGCTATCTGAAGAGCTGTGGGCTCGTTTGTTCACTGGTCTTTTTTCAGTGGCCAAAATAAAAAGGGCACCAGGCACTTGACTCCTCCTCAGCTGGTCAGCAGACACATTTTCTGCTTTGTGGAGAAATGTGAGGTATTTTAGAAACAATTCCAGAGTATATTTAGCTCCAAAAGCTGGGGCACACAAATGTCACATTCCCATGAGACAATCGACCCAGTGAAAAGAGCACCTGTCGGAAGCCCTCAGAAAACCCATGAAATTTGCATCCCAGGAGATGCTGCACACACGGATGTGACATCATCAAGGCACCAACATCGGGGAATGAAAAGAAGCAAGGGGGTTACAGATTGGTTCAAGTTGAGGGACGTCATAATGAGTCAGAAAAGAAACAAGACTTTTCCAAGGGAACAGCGCAATCACCAAGCCATACCACACAGTGCTTGGCAAAACAAAACAGAAGTTTGAAATAAATCATGAACATTAAAAAGAAAAACAATTCATAGCAAAATGGAAAGTAAAATCATAAAAGTCATGGTAAAAGGAACATTAAGCTACATCTTTTTTTTTTAATTTCTGCATAACAACTCATTGACATTGCCCCATCAAAATGCATAATCAGTTGTCGAAAATCAAACTCAAATTCGACAGGGCAAGGCAAGGAGTTAAGAGCACAAGAACAGTGATCATGTTAAACACCCATGCAATCACCTCTGCCACCATTGTTTGACAATATGTGGACTGCTTCCAGCTTTGTCAATATTCATAACAAGGCCCAGGAGAATGAACAATGCTGAATTTTAAAATGATCTGTCAAAGTGTTAATTGGACTCTGATAACTTCCATTCCTTGGGGAAGTTAACGATTGGGGAAAATTCATGCCATCCATCTCAGTGAAGTGAAGATAAAATTTACTGCAACCAACTGCTAGATATTTGGTTGACATATTTAATGCTTTACTGGAAAGGTTGCTTTTTGTTTGTGTGTTTGTTTTTTGTTTTTCCCAGAAAGTCACAGTGTGCAAACACCCAGTAATTTTACTGAGCTGTCTCTTCTTGAGAAATCAGCCAAGGCTAAGACATCTGGGGTCTGGAGCCACACATAACAAATAATGGCACATACTAGGGTTTGTGGCCTGTGGAGACAGTTCCTCTGGCCCATCACAAATCAGCCTGGTGCTTTCTCAGGATCCTTTAAGTTAGAGGGACCCCTCCAACTTAAAGAGACCGAGGAAACAAAACCTCCCCCATCCTTTCTTTCTTTCTTTCTCTTTTTTTTTTTAAGATTTGGAGCAGAGCATACTAATAAAAGGAAGTCTACGGAAGAATAATACAATCAATTAAGGGGATATACTCAAGACAAAAAACAAAACAACACTAAAAACCGAATCAGCTGTTGTTGATCGAGCCAATGCCAACTCTACACTCCATAGAGTTTTCAAGGCTGTGACCTTTGAAAGAAGATCACCAGGCTTTTTTTTGGAGGTGCCTCTGGGTGGGTTCAAACTGCCAACCTTTTGGTTAGTAAACAAGTGCTTAAATGTTTGTGCCACCCAGGGACTCCCCAAGAACAAGACAAAAGGAGATAAATCTTTTGGGTTGGCAAGTAGAACTCATCTTGGTATGAGGAGCAAAAAAGAGGATGGGAATTTAGCATGAGCTGCAGAACACTGTATAAAAGTAAAGATGGAAATACGTACGCAGACAATCTTGGGGGTGGTGGTGATAGAGACTGTCTACTAAGGGTCACAGTGGCTGCTCTGCCCTTGAGACTCAAACCCTTGCTTAGACGAAACTCTTCAAAACATATAGAAGTAAACAATTCTGAATGGGGGGGCAACAGCTCAGCAGCATAACTGGTCTTTTCAGTCTCTCATTTACAAGACTGTTTTTTGGACAAGTAAAGGCCTCTTTGGTTGCAGCTGCAACTAAAGTAGGATGTGTTACCAGAAGCAGCAAATGGCGAGAAAAGAGATGACATTTCCTGTCTCTAGTTAAGCAAAGAAAGCCAGGGAGAATTTAGGACAGTTCACAGTAGAGTCCCTTTCATTTAGTGTGGCTTCCTTTCCGTTTTAAATGCATAGCAATTCTGCTTGATTAAATAACATATTTTTGTTTTAGCTGTTGTCCTCTAAGGGCATTTACAGTACGCCTGAGGACCTTGGCACTATTCAAATTCAGCACCACGCGAGAGGGAGAGATGCTACCAGCCAGAAAAGACTTTGCCCTGCTATTTCTCAATTCACTGATTAAAGGGCCTTTACTCGGATTACGTTCACTTGCCAAAGCTCCCACTGTGCTCCATTCCATTATGGTGGGAAAACAGGGCCCAAAAATCACAGAATGAGTCTAATAGGAATGGAAAGAGACTCTAGGAGCCAGCATTTACTTTGCGCCAAGACACTCCTCTTTTGGGTGGAGGAAGCTTAGAGGATGTGTTATTTGTTTTGTGTGGTTTCTCCTTGGCCAGGGAATCAAATCATTTCGGATCGAGCCTAGCACAGAGTCTTGCGTTGTGGTCTGTTTTGATAAGCTTTCCATCACAGTGCATTGTGGTTCTCTCAGCGCTACCCTGGTTCAGCTGGAAGCAGTTACATAGTCCTCCCCGCTCTTCCCTCCCTCTCCCCCAGAGGAAGAGGAGTTTCCAAGGCCTTACCCTTCTTGTCTTGGTGATTATGGGAAGACACTGCCCCCAATGGGTCTGTGCTGTCAGGTGAATCGAGCAGATCCTTCCAGTCCAGCATTCCTCCCCTAGACTCATACCCTTCTTGAGCCGTGGAGTCTGACGTGGTGGTGCTGGGCAAGAGGGAACTGGAGTGCCCTGTTTTCATCACAAATACAGTTAGGGAAACATTGCTGGAGAGACCTGCAGTCCTTTTGCTCAGAGACCTGGAAGGTGGCACCCAAGCTGCCCAAAAGTCTCAAAGGGGATCACCCTAGAAATGACAAAGCTTAGCAGGGTGGGTTCAGTGGAAGGATGTCAGGCCAGATCCTATCTGCCACTTGCTAGGTAAGCCTTGGGGGATCACTTAACCTCTCTGGGCCTGGTTTTCCTCCTGTACAAAATGGGAATAGTGACACCTCCCACGGTGGTTGGGACGATAAAATAATGTGTGAAAGCACCTAGTAGTGTCTGACACATAGAAGGTGCACAAAAAATACTGGTGCTTTTCTCTGCTAGTCTCCTGCAGTACTAAAGGCAGAACAGGTCCAGTTCAGGGACACCACACGTGACTGATGGGGGCAGGTTTACAGTAGTGGATGAGCCTTTTCCCCATCACAAACAGCTCAGCTGTCCCAAACACTTCTCATGGATGCGTGAATGTGTTTCTAGTCTTCAGCTTCAACTCCACAGGCATTTCCTTTTCACTGGGATGGAGGCCTCACTACTCCAAGCTGGTGTGTGGCTGTGCTTTTCACGTCTTACCCAATAAAGGCAGTTTTCATCGTTTCGTGACTGAAATCATGCTTAGGAGAGGTTTTTTGAGACCTCACTATCATTGACCAGCATGATTCAGTTGGGAAAGGGGTAGATTTTTGAGGTCCAGAGCAGCCTTCCATAGGGTAACTACAGAAGAAGGACGTTTAGGTTGGGAGTTACAGCAGAAACTCTGGGCATTTCCTGTGACTATATTCCTAAACTTGCCCTCCATCATTCTGCAAGGTTAAATGCGGATTGTATCATATGCTTTGATCTAAGCTGTCACAACGATTTCAGGATGCCCCACTACTTGCTCTCTCTGACAGACATGAAATGTAACTGCTTGTTGACATTCAAGCAGAATTTTTGGTTTATTAAACCAACTTACCTATAGCAATCTTTTGGAAAGTTTTTAAAAAGACATCAGGGCAACTACTGTGAATGTGTAATTGGTGCTTTTGGTAGAAAGGACAGAGTCACAATAACACCAAACTGGCTCCAGCCTCTTGGTGTTTATTTATCACCATGTACATGATAAATAAAATACTGGCCACCAGAAAGAGAGATTATGATGATAAATGCACTGCATTCTTTTCTTTTAAAATTATTATTGGAAGTTGGATTTGCATACTTTAATACTGCAAATTACAGACAACATGTAAAAAAAAAAAAAGATAGCTTTTTATCTTCTTAAAATTTGCTTAGCAAGAAAAAGCAAGCCAAAGATTTCTTCGGTAGCATTTAAGAAGATCCTTTTTGGGTGGAACTTGTTTGGCCCCCACACAGCTTCAAACATCCGCTTTGTTCCAAATAGTTTGGTTCATATCCAAGCACTAAAAACACGTTCATTTAAAACGCAAAGAAAGTGCTTGGAGCTAGACTTTGTTTTTCTGGGTTTCACAGCTCATCTCAAAATACTGATAAGAAGAGAAAAAGGAAAATTAGCCTGAGAAATGGAAATTCAGAATTTCCTTTACTTCTTTTTGTTTATATTGAGGTCTGAAACATAGCCTGTATTTTCCACTCCTGAATTCAAGACTGCTCTAATGAAATATATGGTCTGCCTAAGAGAGAATTCAGCACCTAGTATAAGCAAACAATTAGCAATAACTTTATAGAGCGTTAGGAAGAAAAAGGGGAAGAAAAAAAAAAAATCCCTCCCCTTCAAGTAGCAAGAATTTCTTTTACCTGAATTGATATGCATTTTGAGCACTTTCAATTTAACTGTGTTCAAGGGGCAATTTTATGGTAATGCCGTAAGTATGGTTTAGGGAGAACATTTCTTAATACGGTAATCTAGGGGAAATATATGCCTAAGGGACACATTCTCTGTAGAAAGATTTCCTGGACCATATGCTGCAAATACATGGAAAACTCACTGGTAACGGAAAACTATGGCTATGAGAGGAAATTAATGTGGACCAGATGGTAGTTAGGTAGGAAAATGTTTTATAGAAATGTGAGAAATCAGCCTCTTCTCCCTATCACTGAAGTGTTAGTCTAATACCCACCACATCTTGATTTTCTATATGTAAATCTAGAGAAACCATGCATCTGATTTACTCAAAAAAAAAAAAAAAGGTAGAGCAGCATGAGCCTGTAATCTTTTAAACTTATGCTTGAGGATAGGGAACACGTCTTGGTAGTGAATTAAACAGTTGGAGAAGGCAATACCTGATTTTCAAAAATTTTAGAACCACCATGTATAAGCTCCATTAAGCAACAGCCCTTAGTTTGAAATCAGTCATCAAAGATGTGTATTATTACCTCCCCAAGCTTAAAAAATATTAAAGCAAACCACTTATATTCCTTCTTATCACTTGATATTAAAGGCTATCTTATTTTTTACGCATTCCCTAAGAGACTTTGTAACCAAAATATTTTGTAACCAAAAATATAAAAATAATCATTTGTGGATATGGTATTACATGTCAATAGATTTGGAACCTATAATTTTACTTTGTCAGTCTAATAAAAAAGGTCATATTTTATTCAACGGAGCTATAAAATCCAAAGATAGAGAGATATTTTAAAAGTTATCTTTAATATGCATCATATTGTTTCTCTATATCTACAAATCATTGTGATTCCAGAGGTTAGAGACCCTTCAACCTACTCTAACCTATTAACAACCATCGCAACCCAGTTAGACAAAAAAGAGACACTAAATCAATACAAGAGACAAGGAAGGAAGGAAAATAATCAGGGTCCAATTCACTAAAAAGTGTTCTTGCATATGTAACTGGTGTTGCACAGAACTTTGGCCAGGCAGAAAGTCTACATGGTGTATGAAATGATTTCTTTTTGAGAGTTAGGCAGTTCTGATTCTGCGGTTCACTCTACAGGCCTGCACTGAGCTACTGAGCTTTCTCTGGGGACACACAAAGAACACAGCTCAAAACAGAACGGACACTTTGGACTTTGAGGTTAGCTTCCAGGTCTACATTCACGCTCATGAAAATAGTAATCTGACCCTTCTTGTGATGCTACAAATCCAGCACCTCCTATGTGCCTGGAACATATAGACTCTAAACAAGTATTTGCTGAATGAATGAATTAAATCCTTTTTGGGTCTATTAACTCCAAAATAAGGAGCCCTGGTAGCATAATGGTTAAAGCACTTGGTCGCTAACTGAAATGTATGTGGTTTGAACCCACCAATGGCTCTGTGGGAGAAAAGATCTGGTGATCTGCTCCCGTAAAGATTTCAGCCTAGGAAACCCTATGTAAATTCTACTCTGTCCTATAGGGTCACTATGAGTCGGAAATGACGACAACAACGAAATAAGCATGTCTTATAATAATTTATGAAAAAAAATGTTTCCTACTTTTTAAAGTACTGTCTGGACTATGCCTCATTTTGATGGTCAATTAATCATCTAAATGCTTCACACTAGATAGAGTTAGCCTGAAATGGACAAATAATTAGCTGAAAAGAAAATTCTAACTCTTCTTTACTTTCATCACAGAAACAGCTGATCAAGAGCTGAAGATGAATGGACATTGTCCTTTAAAGTGTTAATATAGAAGAATTAATAAGGACTGTTCCTTTTGTAAAGGAAATAAGAGATCTGTAGCTTGGAGAATGATTTTTGTTCATAGAGAGCATCCCATGGTTTAATTATTTATATGAGAAATTACCTGGGACTTAAAACTGGTCTTGGTATGATTGATGAATGCTGGGAGGCTACTTCTTCAGTTAGATTCAAGATCTAAATGTCTCGATATCTGATAAGGATTATCCAGTTATAGGAACCAATTGCAAAGTATGATACTGGAGAACAGCAGATGCTAAGTGGGTTTTCTTTCTGAAGGGCAGGTAAGCTACATTTGCCTCCTGAACAATTTCTCTTCTAGTCTTTGATGTTAAATATTCTGGCGTGAATCACAGATCAGAGAATGTTAGAGGCAGACAGACTCTGCAAGTTCCTCTATTCCACACTGCCTAACACCACGAGTGGGCTGATCAGGAGAAGTCAAGCATCCTGTTCCATTATTTGCGCTAATTAGATACAGAGTGAGAGTTTGCACAGAGCTATCTAATGCATTTGCAACCATCTTGAACTATATCCTTGCATCCTAAATCTGCCTTTCTTTTTCTTTTCCTTTCTTCATTCTTTCCCCTTCCGTAAGAATCTGCCTCTATATTTACATAAGGAGGCCTGGTGGTGCAGCAGTTATGAGCTCAGTTTGAATCCACCAGCTGCTCCTTGGAAACCCTATAGGGCAGTTCTGCTCTGTCCTATAGGGTCGCTGAGACTCGGAATCGACTCGACGGCAACGAGTTTCTTGTATTTAAATAAAGATGGTCCTGGCACTTTTACTTTGTTACAGATCTTAAATACATAAACTAGAAAATGTTATTTATCAATGAAATCAATCTCCATTATAATGCAGAAGCTTAAATTTGCCATTAAACATATGTTTTTCATATTATATTTCAAAAACACATGAAGAGTTTCACCTAATAAATATTTGGGGGGGGGGGTACTTTGAGAAATGTAAATGGTACAGCTACATTTTAACTTTTCTTGTAAAGACCTCAGAATATTCTGTTTACAGACTTTATAGCTTTGTTTAATATAGTGTCTGTGTACTTCAGAGCAGGAACAACGGGATGAATCCTATTTGCACATTATTTCCACTGTGTCACTCTTCCTTGTATATGTTCTGAAGAAACTGTACTGAAAACCTGTCTAAATATTCATGCTCTTATGAACTTACAATTTGACGGCTAATTTCATGCTACGTTGGACAGTTTTGCCTAATAGGAACCAAGTCTCTACACCCTGTATAGATTTTCCCCTCGTTGTCTAGAAAGCTAGCATTTTGGGGTTGGTATTCTCTATCAGCTGAGGCGCTATGGCCTATTAGTTATAAACACTGTTCTTTTCTCTTGGATAGACTTATGCCTAGAAGCAATTTCCTCTCCCTCAAGAACTCATTAAATATATTCACCAATCTCCCGAAGGCTGACATATTTCATGTTATATGGATTAAAAATTTAGGACTCCGTCTCACACATCAATGGTCTCATATAGGCAAAGTGATTTTTGAACCATTAGTGAAATCTAGAAGAATTTTAGTGAATTGGGGTCCTGAAGAATCTGGTCCATAACGTTTAGGGATGGAAACTATAAACTACCACAGGAAAAGTCACTTGAAAAATTAAAAAAGAAAGAAAGAAATCCATAAACTGACCATACACTGTGTTGTAAGACATTTCATGATCTGGTAGAGGAGTTGAAATGTCTATAAAAAAAAAGTAACGAGGATAAAAAAATTAATTAAAGAAACCCAAGGTTTGAAAACACTCAAGAGGATTAGCGAAATGGAATCTCCCAAATAGATTTTCACCGATACTAAATTATGAGAGTAATATCTTCCTTACCATTCAGTGCCACGAAGGAATCTGAAAGACAAAAGGGAGAAGAAGGTTATTTAATGTTTTACACTCAACTTAGTGTGACTTACATACTAAGTGGAAATGAGCTAATACAAAACTCTGCTAACATATGATCCCAATACTAAGTAAGTGCTTTTTAATTCCTGCTTGTAACTTAAGATGCTTTATACTCAGTCCAATTCCTGTTTCTGCCTTCACACCTCCATATCTCTTCCACCAAGTGAGTTTCCTCAAAGTCAGTGCCTTTGCCAAGAGGCAGAGAAAAAGCAAGAGTTAGCAGAAAGAATGCTAATGACGGCTATACGTGATTCTGAGAATGTGAGCACTAGGCTACAAGGGGCGCGTGTGTGGATAAAATAAGTGACATGTGCACCGTGCTTAAGCACTTTTCTTTATACTCTCTCTCACTGCATCCTTGCAACCATGCTATGAAGAACTGTCCAATATTACAGTGCTCTGAACGCAAAAGAGTTTTTTTTTGGGAAATTAAAAAAAAAAAAAAGATGAGGTTAACAAACAAATACAAATAAACAAGCACAAGCACATCAGGCAACACATATATGTGTCTGTCTGTGCTGTGTGTCTCTGTCAGATGAGTGGTTCACTCAGCCCGAGACAGCCTCTGACACTGGCTCTTTATGGCTTCCTCAATTCTCCTTAAAGTTCTGTTAAACATTCATTGTGCAAAAATCATCTAAATCCTTTCTGAATATCTGTGTGAACAGGTATGTCTAATGGCAGCATTTCATGCTCCAGCAGGAGCACAGGGTGGGGAGAAGCCACTGGGAAAGGCAGGCAGGCAAACAGAGGGTCAGCTTTACCTCCTGCCTTGAGCAGCAGTGAGGTTAAAGGTTAAAGGTAAGGTGGCAAGCAGTCTAGGGGCTTCGTTGCGGATTACCCTGGGAATAGAGAGTAAATCATTGGCTTAGAATCTGAGGGTTTCCCTTGTGCTAGAACAGAGACTTCTTTAGGCTGCTCTGCCTGAGGACACAGATATGGGTGTGAGCTTACAAGTGTAGTGGGCACTCTGTAGAGACAGCAACAACCATCTTTGTATTTTCATATATATATATATATTCATATTCAATACCTATCTATACTCCTATTTTTATATAGATGCCCATACCACCAGATTATAAAAATATAATGAAAATGATTCACTAAAGTCAGCTGATTAAGTTCATTCACACATTTTTTTCCCCATTGCCGTCTAGCCAATTCCGACTCATAGTGACCCTATAGGGCAGAGTACAACTGCCCCATAGGGTTTCCAAGGAGCGGCTGGTGGATTAAAACTGTCGACCTTTTTGGTTAGCAGCTGAGCTCTTAATCACTGTGCCACCAGGGCTCCTCATTCATACATATATACACACAATCCGAAAACTTTTTCCTTGAAAATGGAGTTATAAGGCTCCAAAAAATTTAAGGTCGTCTCATCAAACACTGGATTAACTGATACAGATGAAATGCAAGTGACACAGATTTTTGGTGATGACATTGTCTCCTATGCTAATTTCTTAACGCCTAAATTTTGTGTGTGAAGATGTAATAAACATGAAATTTGTTTTCTTATATATATATATATATATATATATATATATACACACATACACACACACACACACACAAACTCATTTGGAGATAAAGCTGCCTATATAGCTTTCTCTATTTGATATATTTGATCTCCCAAAAAACACATGGTAGAAAATTTAATGGTAACCTAGAGTCTGAAATTTCAGTACTCATGGCTCAAAGATTTACAGAGTTATACCCATGTTTTTCATTAGAGAATCAAACATCAGAAGTAATATAGTTTCATTCCCTTAGGAACTGTTTTTTGGTGCCACTTTGAATGCAATCTTCTTGAAATTCAGGCTATCTAACATTTCAAATCCCCAAAACTAAACATACTTTCTAAAAGTGTGGCACTATTCTTTGAATTAGCACTAATACAGCATTTTCAGGAGAATACTGATATTCATCAGGACACAGGACAACTGGACAGAATTTTGACTAGTATCTGTAATATCAAGCTCTAACTAAAATTCTGAAATAAACTTTGAGTTTAAGTAGTAGGTTATTTCCTTTTTTAAAGGTCATTTTGGATCACCTTGCACTTAGTGGGTTATTTCTTAATTTTTTTCTATGTCAAATGGTAATGGACATGACTAACTTTAAAAAACAATTGTTTGTAATAGTCAATATGTGCAGGAAGAATAAAGCAGTCTCACTCAGTCAGAAAGCTAGAATACAGTGATCCATCTTTTCATTATTTGGCTAAAATTTACAGCATAACCAAACCAAATCCATTGCTGTCAAGCTGATTCTGACTCATAGCAATCCTATAAGACAGAGTAGAACTGGCCCATAGAGTTTCCAAGGAGCAGCTGGTGGATTCGAACTGCTGACCTTTTGGTTAGCAGCTGACCTCTTAACCACTGAACCACCAGAGCTCCTAAAGTGCAACAACACATTTAAAAAAATAACTCTGTGGCTTTATAATGGAAATGATGACATAACTTACCGCTCTACTATAATTAATATCCTACAGAGCTGAATTTGTTCCACAGCACTATAATAACAAACTGAGTGCCAGCATTTATAGTAAAAACATTGAAAACAGTGGCTTTAAAACACACAACTTTTTTAATTTGTTTTTTAAAAGATGATTTCTGTTATTTATGCATGCTTTAGTGCCAGCTGCACTCAGTTCCACATGTGGGGGAGTGTTTCTAGGCCATTCTATAAAAGCATCTTTGCCCAAAGATAATTATGGGTAAAAAGCTTTACTTACTATGACAGTCCCCCAGACCATCTGTATTGCCACGTTCAATGTCCTGTTCAAAAATCAGTCTTCAAAAAAAAAAGACAGGGAAAGAAAGACAGAAACAAACACAAGACTGTGAGTCACTATTCAGGAATGAGTCTTAAGTTTCACTAAAGAAAGCGACACAGTTTGATAAATTGAGTGGCAGGTGTAGGAAAGGAAATAGATAACAGCTTGAATCTTTATCTCTGAAGTTTACAGAAATGAGTCCTATGTGAATCTCCAAAGAGAAGCAGTGGTTTAAGCAGTTAATTCAGATATTATTCAGGAAGTTAATTAGTTTGTGGATTATTTATAGCCTTCTTTTACTCTGATTTTCTGAGCAGTTTTTAAACATTTAAGAAGTTTATGTTAAAATATATGCTTTATATTTAAGCAATATAAAAACCTACTGCTGTTGAGTTGATTCTGACCCATAGTGACCCTAAAGAGCAGAACTGCCCTATAGGGTTTCCAAGGCTATAATCTTTACGGAAGCAGACTGCCACATGGTTCTTATGTGGAGGAGCTGGTGAGTTTGAACTGCCAATCATAGAAGTCTATAAATTAAAAAATTGAAGTTTTTTCTTCTCTCCTTCTTCCATCCCACTCTTGCCTTCCCTGGCCTTTATCTATTTCTTTTCTTAGCAATAACTTGGTCAAAGGTAAAGGCCTCTGGTCCATACAGCTGGCCAGTGGATGCGTGTGTAGGGCTGTGAGGAGGTAGGATCTGGTGGTACATTTTGCTGAGACCACTTAGGTTTTTTGTTTGCTTCCAATGCTACCCCTGACCCTCAGGAGTATTACTCTCAGGCTTCTCCACATGCTCACCCTTCTCACAGTCTACCAGGTCACCACTGGGCTGTATAAGCTATGTAAAATTAACAAGACCAATTTTAATATTACCTATTTTGATTTCTTGAACAAGTACACTAGAAAAATACAAAGGAGTATTATCCTTCTTTGGGGAAAATAAATTGTATTTATTCCTGTAACAAACTAAGTGAAACTCCTCTATTGCAGCTGCCTCTGGAGTTTATTTATGAGGCATATGGGAAAACTAATTTATTTTGAAAGTCACACCTTGATCTAATAATCCACCATATTTGCTTTCCAATGCCTCTTGCTGTGTTAAAAATCAAATTCATCCCCAAAGGATTAAAATTTCTAGTCTCGATGAAAGCAAATATTCATCAGGCCCTGCAGCCCACTTCCCAAGAGGAATTCCACAAGTTTTGAGCAATGCCAGTGTGACTGATATATGTATGTAGTCCCCTGAGAGGACTGTCTCGGGGTTCTGATGTTAATTTAAAAGATAATTTTTTAAAATTAGTCTCACCTGGCATACAGAAAGGACACAAGTCGTTTCTTAGCTTCCCTCACCGTGCTTTGTGATCCTTTCCTTCTCTAACTCAAGGGTTCCCACGAACAGATAAAAAGCTCTAACATTATAGTATGTCAATATTGCTGCTTGTAAAGCTGCTATAATAATATATAGTGAGTCAAACCTTTGTGTTAATCAAATTTCCAGGTCAGATTTTATAGTTATCATTAGCTCTGTTTATGGGAATACTTTTCCTCAAATTATACAGATGGTGGTCATTAGATAGGCTCCTCTGTCTGTCTAGTTATTCTAAAATGAGAGAAGAGGCTTAGAGCGATGTGATCTGGGGAGGTTGATGGAATGGCTAACAAAGGTCTTCGCTGCCATATGGCACCTTTGTTGAGTTGCCACAACCTGTCAAGGACATGCATTAAATATTTTTCCAAATGTTATTTTGGATTTCATACCCACTGATACAAAAACATAAAAAGAAATCTTTTAATCAATGCCATCTAAGCATTTAAAGCTAGGGTAACAATCTTAAACACCAAAATCACAGGCAAGGTAGACTGTTCTGATCTAGTTGATCTGCTGGAGAATTGCCAAAAATTGATCGATGGCCTATGGAGTAATAGGGTCAACTGTTATTCAGTGTAGAAGAAAGGGTTATTGGCTGTATACACCATACTTGCTGTACAAATGCATCGTTTAACAAATGCTCTGCAAGTTCTCCTCAGCACTGCACAGTCCATGAAAAGAGCCAGTTTTGCTCTGGCTGGACAAACCACATCAGTAATCTAATTGGTATCCTATCGCTCCTTTTCTCTACAGCTCCTGCACTGTGATGAACGGGCATGCACCTTCTTGTCTGTCTCTCCAGAGAATACTTGGAAGCCCACTGTGTTTCCCTTCTCTCTGTGTTTTTCATCAGTCTGGGGATGATGAATCAGTTGGAAATCTGCCACATGTGATGTAGTGGGATTCTATGAAATGGGAAAAGAATAACTGGCAGTCCTTTCGGTGAGGCTGGTGCACAGGAGACTGGATGGTGTTGTTATGTATGAGTATAGCGAATTGTACATCTGGAATGCGAATCAGCCAAAGGCTACCTTGCCCTCTCCCACACCTGGGCTCCTTACCTGCTGCTGGGTGACAGATGGGTACAGGAACCTCCTTCCTTTACCCACCCACAATATGGGTCTCTGGAGGCAATGCAGTTTCTGCAGGAAGAGGATAATCATGAGCTATCTAGGAATCCTATCTAATCACTGTGGACTTTCTAATGGACAATGAGGCAAAATACATACTTTTTACACTTCCCATGACGTTCACACCGTCCAAGGGGAACCTTGATCACACAGGTGGAGAATGCAACATACAGAGAGCTACTTGCTTTGTCCAGCTGCATGCCCATAATCCTCTTGTCTTCTACTCCATCATAGCTGCACCTAAGAGGCAGGATATCGTATTTATAGACTCTTAGCTCAATTCTCTCTCTGCTACCATCCTCACTTCCCACCTCACAACCCAAAAGGTGATTTCTTAATTCTTTCTATCTAACTGAAGGTGGAACAGATATTTATGTGTGTGCATACACACACACAGACACACACACGCACCCCCAGTTACTGGCAAGGAGAAAATTATGCTTTCTATGTGTTAAAAGACTTTTACAAATAATGTTAAAAATCACTTAAAAATGCATACAACCCAAATATCCTATGATTTTCTCTGAATGAAAGGGGGCATAATAGCGTAAGAAATAATTACGATGAAAGAACCAAATATTCCACTCACTTTTCAGGGTTATAAACGCTCATCTCCTCCAGGAAAAGGCTGTCATTTAGGAAACCACTATTTCCTATCCTGGCCAGGAACTTCAAGATGATTCCCTTCTCTGATCCCAGGAAAACCACAGTGTGATTCTGATAGGGCCCAGCAGCTGTGTCCACTGCAATTTTGGTCAGGCGGTATCTAGAATGACAGGATCACATTTTTAATCTCTTTGTTGGTCTATCATTAAAGTGTCCCCATTTCCACTTCAAACAACTGTGACATAGCTTTCTAGTAATAACCTCAATAAAAATATACGCATACAAATAATGCTCTCAAGCTGTTCCAACCCACATGCAGAACATCAGTATGGCTCCACGGGGGGAGGCGGAGGTATGCATGTGTGAAGGCCAAGTTCCATAATAGACAGCCACAACCATCTGAAACCACTCAGCAATTACACCTTCCATGAGCAACAAGGAAAGGCTGATGTCTTCTTTGAGCATATCATTTCATGTTGAAAAAAGGGCAATGCTACCATTTCTTCACACTCATCCTCTGAAGTCTAAAGCCTTTGTAAACACAATGTCAGATTGGAAAGCTTTCCGATTGTGTGTGCAGGGGCTGAGAGAGTTCTGAAGGATGGGGAGGTAGAGAGTTGGTGGAACTTCCAATAAATATAAGGGTGTACCAGCTAAACAAGATCCATGGAAAGCCACATGTCTAGGATAAGTCCAACTAGGCATCCTTTTTCTCTGAAATCCTCTGATCGTTCACCATTCTGTAGATAACCTATTTCTCCTAAGTACTATGGCAGGAACTAGAAAACATGGACCTTCCGGCAAGTTACATAGGATGGTTTTTTTCATCTTACAAGCAAGAGCCATTATACTGCTTTAATACTGCTCAACAAAGTCATGGTATAAGAAATGGAGGCAGTGTTATACTGTTATAGCTCTTTTAGAATTTGTCTAGCAGATCTGCAGGAAGATCACCCTCCTAACCACCCCCACCCCCCAAAAAAAGGAAAAAAGGAGGTAAAATTAATTAACGTTTTATTTGATGACTGCCACAGTTGGATGGTACTTGGGAAAGCCTTTTGAATTGTTTGGAAATACGCTCTTAATAAATATAAGAGTATTTCATGTTATCACAGATCTTTAATCAGCTATCCCTTCTCTGTTGGCTAGATAAGGAATGTTAAATATGAATCCTTCAGGCTGGCATACTGTAAACATGTAAACGTGACATCCATGCTCTATTTGACAGCCAACAATTTAGGGACCTCATTGCAATGAACCAACCAACAGGATGTGGATACCAAACAGGTACTGACTGACTCTCCTTCACTGATCCTCGGTTTTTGCGCAGATTGGGTTAATGGGCTAACCTGGAAGAAAAATCTTTGTTTCTTCTGAAAGCTGGCAAGTGCCCAACTAGCTTGGAAATAAAGACATTTTGTCACTGGGAACGTGGTTATGGGGGTTTGATGGCATCCACTCAACCCTTCAGCATTTCATAGCTGAATCAATGCCCTGGATAACAGAAAATGTTGTAGCATTTCAAAGCACGGCTGATTCTATGAGCATGAGAAGGAGGCAGGGAAATCCACTTAGAGCCTGATTTGGTGGCAACCCACCTGACCATCGTCCTCAAAAACCATGGCCTGTTGATAATGGAAGGCACTGCCTCATCCATGAGCGGGTGCGTCTTGATGAAGTTGAGGGTGTCATCAGGAAACTCATTGGAGGTTGCATATTTTTCTAAGGAGGATGAGCCCGCGCAGCATCCTGGCCTAAAACAAAACAAAGGGTGGGAGGAAGAGAGCTTATTTCATGCCTTATGGCAAATTCTTTGAATGAACTGCTTCTCTAATCATCTGGCATGAGGGAGAATGTACCGCAGGCTGAGAAGAGGAAGTTGAACAATGCCGAATGCCACCAAATAAAACATGCTTAGATTTCCTCTGGGCCGCCTCCTCGTTCCACAGGGAGCCTCAGCCAGGGGCAGCTTGGCTTCCTCCCAGCAGCACAAATAAACCCCAGTAAACAGTGATGGAGCTTGAAACAAGTGAACGAATGCGTGGTTTGCACGTATCTCAGGGACTGCACTACAAATCCTAGAACCCCGGCAGACGTTCTTCAGGCGTTTGCTCTACAGAGGGAGAGAATTAAGTTGGTTTTTTCACAAGTGTAGAAGACAAAGGCCTTCAAAAAGTTTCCAGGGTCCATACCAGCAAGGCTCAATGTTTGTTTTTCACTTTTGCTTCATTATGGCCGGTATGAAAAAACCAATTATACTAAAGATTCTTTCCTGAAAGGTCATTTCCTTGTAGTAGAACAATGACGGTGAAAATTCACTTCCACAAAAAAATTCTATGGTTTCAGGAGTTAAGGAACACCCCAGTAAATTCAGACCAGGGTAATACATGAGCTAGTCCTATCTACTGACAGCTGGTTTGCCCGCTGGCACAGGAGAGGGAATTGGGCCCCCACAACACAGGCATGATTAGCTCTCTCGCAGCTGATGCTTTTTAATTTAAGCCTGCTTTAGGGTGCTAGGAGTCCCTGGGTGGCGCAAATGTTAACATGGTTGGCTGCTAACTGAAAGTTCAAGTCCACCCAGAATCACCTCGGAAGAAAGGCCTGGTGATTTGCTTCAGAAAAACCAGCCATTGAAAACTCTAGGGAGCACAGTTCTACTCTGACATAGGTGGGGTCAGCATGAGTTGGAGTCGACTCACTGGCAACTGTTTTTCAGGGTACTACCCCAGCCAGCCCAGTGAAAGCACCCTGATGTCTATAAGAGGGACACGGTGAGCATGTGGAAAGATCAGTGTCAACCCACTAACGTGGTTAGAAAGTCCCTCAAAGTATGCATTCTGACAACAATGTCTGAGTGACAGCATTTTCACACTCAGAGGAGATTATATTAAATCAGTTCTCCCTGAAACCTGGCCCCTCAGGCCTAACTCTGCTTCCTGCTTATCTAGAAACTTTTTGCCCTTGAGTCGATTCTGACTCATAGCAACCCTACAGGACAGAGCAGAACTGCCCCATACAGTTTCCAAGGAGCCGCCGGTGGATTTGAACTGCCAACATTTTGGTTAGCAGCTGAGCTCTTAAATACTGTGCCACCAGGGCTTATCCAGAAGGTAGCTAAAATAAGGCAGTGCCTTTACTCTCAAACATTTACTTAGAAAATGAATGAGGTTGAGGGTGATTTTTGCACCTAGTCTGCTATCCATAAGCAACAGAGTGTGAACATGTGAGATAATTCAGGTGATGAAGGCTTGGGAACCACATGGGTTCCTCCCCTGGGTACAGAGGTTCACATTATCTCAGTTAGTCCAATTAAATGTACTGAGCTAGGTAATTTGTATGGGGGATTGGAGGTTGGGGGAGGGAGCTGGAAGCAAAAATACAAAATCATAAATCACTGGGCTCCCTTCCAGAGGCTCACAAATTCAGTGGGGAAAGGGAGCCACACATGGCTGCTTCTATATAACTCAGCTTGCAAATGCTATAATGGAGGTATGGAATGTGTGTCACATAGAGAAGGCAGGCAAAGGGTTGGGGGGAGAATCCCACTCTTGTCCCAGTTAGAAAGAATGTAGTCATAGTTTGAGGATATGAAGGAGATTATGTAGGACCAAGAGGTCTCTAGATTGTCTCTGGATCAAAGGTTCCTTATGAAAATAGACAATTGATAAGTGGTAACTCTGGTGAAGAGTAAGACAGTACATAATACTGGGGAAACCAGCACAACTTGTACAAGGAAAGGTCATGGAAGCTCCCTAGACACACCCAAACTCCCTGAGGGACTGAATTGCTGGGCAGAGGGCTGTGGGGAACCACAGTCTCGGGGAACGTCTAGCTCACACAGTTTATAAAGACAATGTTCTATATTCTACCTTGGTGAGTAGCATCTGGGGTCTTAAAAGCCTGTGAGCAGCCATCTAAGATACTCCACTGGTCTCGCCCCTTCGGGAGCAAGGGAGAATGAACAAAACAAGATACAAGGAAAAGACTAGCCCAAAGGACTAATGGACCAACGCTACCAAGGCCTCCACCAGACTAAGTCCAGTACAGCTAGATGGTACCCGGCTACCACCACTGATTTCTCTGACCGGGATCACAACAGAGGGTCCTGGACACAGCTGGAGAAGGACGTAGAACAAAATTCTAACACACAAAAAAAGACCAGATTTATTGGCCTGACAGAAACTGGAGAAACCCCGAGAGTATGGCCCCTGGACACCCTTTTAGCTCAGTGGTGAAGTCACTCCTGAGGTTCACTGTTCAGCCAGAGACTAGACAGTCCCGTAAAACAAAATGGGACTAATGAGGCACAGCAGTCCAGAGATAAGGACTAGAAGGCAGGAGGGGACAGGAAACCTGGGGATAGGGAACCAAGGTAGAGAAGGGACAGTGTTGACATGTTGTCGGGTTGTTAACCACTGTCATAGGGCAATATGTGTACTAATTGTTTACTGAGAAACTATTTGTTCTGTAAACCTTCATCTAAAGTACAAAAAAAAAAAAAAAAAAAAAAGATTATCTATGTGAGATCAAATTGACAACAGCAACTCAAAAGGTTTGATGGGAAGCCTAGGGGACAGTGAGTTGAGGATAATGGTGATGGAATAATTTGGAAAAGGATAGTGAGAATAGCAGCACAACTGGAAGAATGTAATTGATGTCACTGAATTGCACACGTAGAAATTTTTGCAATGGTATATCTTTGGCTATGTATATTTTCACCAAAAAAAAAAGGTCCTCCAAGGTTGAGAAGGGAGAGTGTTGACATGTCGTGGGGTTGTGAAGCAATGTCATAAAACAATATGTGTACTGACTGTTAAATGAGAAACTATTTGTTCTGTAAACCTTCATCTAAAGTACAATTAAAAATCAAACAAACAAACAACAAAATACTAGGCAATAGTGAAGGGTGAGAGATAACAGAATGGACCATTGAATGGGGGTGGCTGTGGGCAAGGTTTGCAGGAAACACCCTCTCTCTGCCATGTGCACCATCAGAATTGAACATGAGGAGATGAGGTGGGAGAGGTGGCCGGTCAGTTTGGGAAAGCTTTTCAGAGGGCATTCAGGAAATGTCCCCTTTCTGCAACAACAACGAAAAGGTTCCTTACGAAAGCAATAGTAGGGTGCAACTCGGGAAAAAGGGATTCTGTGCCGCATCTGGACATGAAACAGACCAGAACCTGGTAGACCAGAGATATCCTAATGATCCACTGTATCTGCTGGGCTCTTCCTGCCCTGGCCTGGAGTCTTGGGCTCAACTCAGACCTGGCCTGGTCACAAGATCCAGGGGACATCACTTATAACTCATACTTTATTAGGTATTAAAGACATTTGTTAGTCGATTTGTGACTCACAGTGACCGCATGTGACAGAGAACTGCCCCATAGGGTTTTCTAGGCAGATCTCCAGATCTTTAGCCAATGGATCCACTGGGTGGGTTTGAACCACCAACATTTTGGTTAGCAGCCAAGTGCTTAACTGTTGTACCACCAGGGCTCATGGATCTCTGTAAAATTGAATGAAGCAGGAAAGAAAAGTAGAAATAATCTACCCAGCTTTGTGAACTTACAAAATACACTTTACCTCTCTGGGTCTCAGCTTCCCCACCAATAGGCCAATGGGGCTGTCTGGACCAGATGGCTCCACTCATTCTCAGATTACAGTGGACAGACTACAGATGTAGAGGCTAAGCAAAAGACTAGAGAGACATTGTTTTCAATATAATTACAAGTAAATCTGGGGTTTGTTAAGAGGATGAAGGCAAATGACCTCACAGCCCTTTCCACCCTTGCAGGATGTGCATCTGCGTGGCCAGCGTGGAAGACACCCACATGTAGTTCATATAGGATGGTCACTATCAGAGGAGCAAGGCTCACCAGGTCTAGAAGCGTAAAAGTGATTTACAAATATTCACATGTACCTGGGCTTAGGCACTCGTTCATCAGGAACTGGTGTCCACGTGGAATCCGGAGACTTCTGCTCTTTGAATCTCCCAGTAAACACATTGGCAATGTCAAGCATGTCATAGGCACAGACTGCAGACCCGGGGATGCTGCAACATGACATTTCACAAAAAGCATTACTCAGTAGTTACGCTACAGTTTGGAAAACATACTCCAAGGAAACTTTCCTGTTATAGGCAGTTGAAATTTAAAGTTAGTATTCTGAAGACTATAAGTGGAAGGGATTCTAATGCATAAAGAGAATGTTTTTTCACTGAATGTTTTCAGTGAAACTTGCATCATGGCCTTAAAATTAGGGCTAATTACAAACTCTTCATGTCTTCACTCTCTCCGGAAACCACTGTTGTTTATAAAGGTAGAAATGTTGAGCTGGAGATTTAGAAGTTTCATGAATTCCCTGATATTAATTATCATCAATAATCCAGAGATAAAAATCTCTGGACCACATTCTGCATCTCTAATACTGGTGAAAATCTGAAGTAAAAATCCCCTCACTGTCCACAAATGCTTTTTAAACTTGGTTCTTTAAGCTAAGAACCCAAGGTGTGAGAAAGTGTGTGCAGGGAAACCTACACATATTTTATATTAGTGACTGTAATTTAAATTTTTACTTCTTGTTTATTTGCATAAGACTAAACCACCAGTGCTTTGCAAATAAAGAGCTCTATAAAGTGTTAAATAATAATAATGATGGTAATCTCTATCTATAATTACATCCTTGCCTGGCACTCCTGGAAGGACTCAGGGATTTTTTTTCATCAATGGTGGGAAGGCATGAATTATTCATTCTTCTGGGTACACTGTTTATATTTGAACCCACGTTTATTTTTGACTATGGTAGCTACTTGATTTTGATAAAATAAAAGGTAGGAAACACTGCCGAGGAACTGTAATTAGGTGTTGAGGTAGTGGGCTACTCCATTACGACAGCTCCCAGGGCAAGAGACGCAGGCACTTCGCAGCGTGCGAACATCATCTGGGGTGGAGTGAACACTTAGTCTGGATTTTGCATATGTTGAAGGGTTATGGAAATCCTGCACAAACGATTAGGAGAATTTTATGCCATCTATAATTTCATAACAAAATTATTAAAGTATTACTAATAAAGCAATAATTAGGGAGAAGATAAAAAGCTTATTTAAAATAAGGCGGAAGGATTAATAGAGAAAATTTAAAGGATTACTTTTTTATAAAGGATGTAGTATACGTATTATTCACAGAATTGAGTATATAAAACAGCGATCTCCATTTGTTCTGGAATTTAGAACCCTAGCATTATTTATTTTATTTCGTAAGACTCTCTTTACATTCTCTTTCCTTATATTTACCCTTATATATCTTATTTACCCTTATATAATACAAAAAAAAGAGTAAATGTTGCTTGAAGTACTTTATGACACATCTTGTAATAACTTAAAACACCTTAGGGTTTTAGAATTTCTTATGAAATCCCTTCTTCTTATCTACTTTCCTCCCTTCCCCCTTTTCTTCCATACATCTTTCCTTCCTTTCTTTCTTCATCCTCTCATTTATATATTCGTTGTTGTTAGGTGCTGTTGAGTCGGTTCCAACTCAGCGACCCTACGTACAACAGAACAAAACACAGCCAGGTCCTGCGCCATCCTCACAATTGTTGCTATGGTTGAGCCCATTATTGCACACACTTTGTCAATCCATCTAGATGAGGGTCTTCCTCTGTTTTGCTGACCCTCTACTTTATAAAGCATGATGTCCTTCTCCAGGGACTGGTCCCTCCTGATAATATGTCTGAAATACAAGAGATGAAGTCTCGCCATCCTTGCTTTCTAAGGAACATTCTGGCTATACTTCTTCCAAAACAGACTTGTTCATTCTTCTGGCAGTCCATTGTATGTTCAATATTCTTCACCAACACCATAATTCAAATGCATCAGTTCTTCTTCAGTCTTCTATATTCACTGTCTAGCTTTTGCATGCATATGAGGCAACTGAAAATACCATGGCTTGGGTCAGGCACACCTTAGTCCTCAAGGTGACATCTTTGCTTTTTAACACTTGAAAGAAGTTTTTTATAGCAGATTTTCCCAATGTAATACATTGTTTGATTTCTTGACTGCTGCTTCCACGGGTGCTGATTCCAAGTAAAATGAAATCCTTGGCAACTTTGATCTTTTCTCCATTTATCATGATGTTGTTTATTGGTCCAGTTGTGAGGATTTTTGTTTTCTTTACGTTGAGGTGTAATCCATATTGAGGCTATAGTCTTCGATCTTCATCAGTAAGTGCTTCAAGTCCTCTTCACTTTAAGCAAGTGAGGTTTCAGTGTCTTAGATTAGCTAAATTAAAAAAAAAAAAAGGAACGAACAGGCTGACACTCAACATTTCTAGGTACAGTGTTTGATGGTTTATAAATCCTCACTACAGTCCACCAGAGTCAGACAATGATGCTGTCATTGGGATCCAGGCCATGGTCCAACTTGTTGAGTGAGGCTATCTGAGGGAGACTTCCTCTGAGAGGTCAATAACCAGGATACCTAAGGTAGGATGCAAGATGGAGCCATCTGAATCCTGAATTTCACCCTGTAGCATTTTAACAAACTTACAGTGTTTTACTTCAAAAGTCACCAATCCAGTCACGGGAATATTAACAGTCAAATGCAAAGTTAGATGAGCTGGAAGAGACAGGAGAGAAATTCTTGAGTTCCAAACCTTCCACTTCCATCTACTGACTACTTGGACCAGGTAGTATAATATTTTGAGCTGTTTCCTTAAGTGTAAAAAGAGGACAATAGTATCCAGTTTCCAGGATTACTGGGATTTAGAAATAACATGTGAAAAGTGTTTATATGCCAGGCATATAAATAAAAATTACTGTTATAGTTTATCTAATTACTTTCCTTAAAATTCTAATCTAATAATGTTTATACTGTTAATTTGTTAATGAAAACCCAACGTTAAGTGCTTCTTAGCTACAAATAATGAGTAGCAATTCTTCCTTCAGTTGCGAATACTGTGTATTAGAAGAGAACCCCCGGGAAAAGGAAGACGGGAAGACCAATTAGGTCAACACAGCCAGGGCATGGTTACCTGTTATAAGGTGTGGAAAAGGTTGCCAAGACAACATCACGGCCATTAATACGAATTACATCTGTTACCGCCTGGAGTATGCTGAAATAAAAATGAGAGTCTCCGGGAACTGAGCAGTTCAAGCGAGCCTTTAGAAAAGATGTCCACTGTTTCTCCAGGACTCTTTGAGACCCTCCCATATCATTCTTGCACACCTGAGCCACTCTTGGAAAAACTACCTGTAGAGGAAAAACACACCGAAAAAATGAAATGCACACACTTTGCAAGGAGATCTTAGTAGAATTTGCCTTCCCTTAAAAATAAAAACAGAACAAGGTGCTTAATTTTATCCCGTGTTTCTAAAATCAGTAGCAGGGGAAGAAAAGAAAAAAAGGGAAATTCAGCATTGGAACAGCATGTTTTAAGAGATAAGGCTGTGGCATTTAATACAGAGCCATAAATCCTTCAGAGGAGCAGCTCCCAGCCACATAAACTCATTTCCATACAGACTGCTTAGCTTTTATTTCTACAAACAAAAGCACACTTTGTATGCACCATCTCTGCATCCTCTCTGGTGTCTGTAGGCCCTGAATTGCTTACTCTGAGTTTGCATTCCTCTAACTATGCAAGCCACCCTGACATTTTATTTATGCCCTCCACCTTAGTGACCCTGATCTGCTCTCTGTGGTAAAAAATTACTGAATGTAATCCCTTAAGTGTTCTATTGCTTTTTTGCAATAAAGACAAAAGTCAAGATTTTCAGTTTTGCTTCAAGATACCAGATATTTACTCTCTCTCTGACAAGCAACTCAATTAAAAAGAAAAAGCTGTTGAGTATACCTGGAAATCAAATCTTGAGATAATTGAAACTCAGTATGAAACCAACCAAACATCTGTCAATTAAAATTTCAAGAGAAATATTTAAGAGGTTCCCAGTAATCTGTTACCATTCTGAAAAGGCATATAGGCATAGAAACAAAAGTTTATCATTGGTTACCAGGTGTTGTGAGGAGGGGGAGCTGCAGAGTTATATTTAGAGGGTGCTGAGTTTCTGTTTGAGGTGATGAAAAACTTTTAGAAATGGAGAGTGGTGATGGTTGCAGAACACAGTGAATGTCATTAACATCACTCAACTGTACACTTAAAAATGATTAAAATGGCACTTTTTGTTACATATATATATATTTACCACAGTAAATTAAAAAAAAGACAAGACATATAGGTCTTCAAGACAGCACAATGCTTCACATCCACCAATCTGTGGCTGGATCTTCTCAAAATGATGACCCTGTCATTAAGATCTATGGTTCTCATTTCAAAGCCATCACAACATTAGCCCAAAAGTGGATTTCTGAAAATGTTACAGAAGAAGCCAGAGATATCCTCTTCTCTTACCTTTCCCATGGTGTTGTACTCCACCGCTATTTCCCTGAAGAAGAAGTAGATGTAGTCTCCATAATCCACCGCTTGGACAAAATATGGCTCTATGGACAAATACGCACTTTAATTGGGGACATGTCAAGCAGAATTAAAAGAAGAACTTTAATCAACTGCAAATTCCAATCAAGTTGAATTAATTTATTAATTAAAAGTACAGGGCCATTAAGCATTGGTTACCAGGAACCATTTGTAATGACTTCATACATGCCAGTGCTGGTGACTTCATTAGGCAACCGAGTCTACAAATTACACTTTTCAGAAGCTGTTACAATCAACAATGAAGAATAAATAAGTTTTGCATATCTCTGTAATTTTATTTCCACAATGGAATCACCATATTACAGCAAGGACTGACTTTTGTACACATCTCCTTGTCTGACTCATTCAGGGTTGTGAATAGCTTTTTTCCTGTTTCCCCATAGCCTCCAATCCCCTCTCCCCTTCCATGAATGAATTGTTCAGTTCTTTTCATGTGGGATGCTGAAATGAGAGTCTGAGGCAGGGAAAGATGAGTGTAATATATTCTATTGTAGTGGCATTGGTAGTTTTGTTAATACTCCAGAAACTCATGGGAAGGGAAAAAGGAAAGTAAATAAATCAGTTGAAGCAAAAGATGCAATTTACACTTTCCTGTCTGTCAGAAGTCATCACAAAAAATGAAACTACAGTCTGGTCTGTCCAGACTCTAAATCTCCCACAAGATACGTATTCCCCCAATCCCTCCTCTTTTCCCCTTTTAATTGTGTTCACCTTTCAACCATTTTGAATCGTGCTTGACGGTCCTCAGGGTTGGGCTGTCTCCAAGACTCCGGTAAATGACTGCATCGATGGCGAGGAAGTCAGTCACCGTGGCTGAATACAGCTTTCCATCTGAGACGAGGAAGAAAAGAGGTGATGGGATGGGAGCAAGGCAGTGGGGGCTGGGAATAATAGAGAAATCCCCCAGATCGCTTTCCTACATCAGGCAAATGAGATAGGACAACTGGGAAAAATCCAAGAGTCGCTGGGAAGATACTTAGCCCACATGCCTAACCATTTAAAATTGGGATCATGGGAGATGAAACATTTTTCATTTTTAAATTGCATGGCAATTTCTAAGCAGCAGCAGCAGCTCAGGGTACAAGTTAAATGAAAAATACTGTTTGCCTCACTTGATTAGATGGACCTTGACTGAAATCTCAAGGCCAAGACCCCTTAGACACTAGCATTGCCACCACACCGTGGTGAATTGGATTAGGTGAGAGCCCAGGGAAAGACAGAAGCTGATCGTATCACCAGCAATTTTAAGTAACAAGCAGAAGTAACGGGGTCCTCGGCTAGAGCAACTGATAGGAGAGGAAGAATGACCCACAAGCAAAAAACGGCTGACTACATTTCATCCAAATTCTCCAACTTCTTATATTTCGAGAGTGCCTGCTCCTCCTGACCTCAGTCATGAGAGTTCACTAAACTCTGCCATTCTTTTGTGTTACTAGCTTAAGTAAAAGACATTGGCTTCAGTATTTCCAAAGTCGCAAACTAAACACATTCTGATACACAAGACGCCAAAGCAAAGACAAAAACGGGGGTGGTGGAGGGGGGGGTGGGGGAGTGTGCAAAGTGCAACCTGGCATTTCTTTATGAATTCAGGCTTTTGGGGAAACATGTTTGAGTATATTTCCAAGTCAAAAGAGAGCGATAAAGATTGATCCCCAAAACTTTCGGTTCACTACTGGACTAACATTCTTAACACAAATAATCAAGTTAGTATGTTCTAGAACACTAAAATCTATGCAGATTAAATGCAACCAATAATTCCATTCAAAATTTTAAAATTACTTCCTAGATTCATTTTTAATGGATTACATATTTTCTTTCATTGTATGTCCAATGACTTCGGTACAACATAGTAATCTTTCACCTCTTCCATTTGTGGGCTAGGCAGCATGGCTTAGAAATGACAAACCAAAATAATCAATAACAAAAAAAACCTTATTCAAACATACCTAAGCAAAATTTTTGGAACTGTGTATACCTTTAGTCTTAAAATAACTGAAATCGTCTCTTGTTCAAGTTGGAGCTGTCTTGATATCTGCATTATTAAAAGCCATACCTCAATGAGTGTTGATGGTTTTGGTTAGATTAGAGCTGCAGTCAGCAAAACTTTCCTTTGAAAAACACCTATCTACATATCACAACTTCTCTCATGCAATCACAGCCCCAGGTCACACGGATACACCTTGGTAGTGGGGACAGTAGGAGAGAGGTTATTCTCCCAACCACTCTCCAGGACTCTTCTTGTTTTACTTTCATTTCAAGCTGGGTATCCCACCAGAACTTTTATTTGTAAAACGGAGCACTACTCTGCCACTCTTGGTCATATAACAATCATTTAACTGCAACAATGACCTTCCATTAATAAGGGCTGAGCTTTTATGAGATTTCGAACATTCCAATGATAAACTATTTAAATATACCTGCCTTTTTGGGGGGGGAAGGGGGCACGCTCATAGTATTACCTCATGTGGCTTGCTCTGTATAAAACAAATGAACAAGCCAACAAACAAACAAACAAAAAAAAGTTGCCATCGAGTCGATTCTGACTCATGGCGACCCCACGTGTGTCAGAGTAAATGGTACTCCATAGGGTTTTCAATGGCTGATTTTTCAGTAGACTGCCAGGCCTTTCTTTCGAGGCACCTCTGGGGGGACTCGAACTGCCAGCCTTCCAGTTAGCAGGCAAGCACTTTAACCATTTGCACTACCAGAGACTCCTTGCTCTGTATTAAAAAAAAAAAAAAAAAAACTAACCAGTTCTATGTTGATTCTGACTTATGGGGACCCCATGTGTTGCAGAATAGAACTGCACTCCACGGGATTTTCATTGCTGTAAACTTTAGAAACAGAATGCCAGGCCTTTCTTCCTAAGTCCCTCTGGGTGGTTTGAACCACCAACCTTTTGGTTAGTAGTCAAGCGCTTAACCAGTTGCACCTTGCTCTCTATATAAAAACAAAACAAAACAAAAAAACCAAACCTATTGCTGTTGTGTCGATTCCAACTCATAGCTCTATATAGCTCCTAGTAAATATTCTGCCCATTCTCCCCTTTCTACCTCAGGCTACAAAATGTCCTCTTTTTAGTTTAGTATTAAATTTAAATTCTTTACTGCGGCCCACAACCTCCACGCTACCAACTAAGGAAGCTTCCAAGTGTCAGGTGCTACCACAGTAGTTACACAATTGAGAATATGCTCAAGCCCTCTTGCTCCTGGCCTTGCTCCTGCCCATGCTTATAAATAGGTCTGTAAGACTGTGTTTCTTACAACGCTGCTTCCCAGTGTGCTCAACCCAGGGGAGAACCTGGTGAACCTTTCCTTCTTAACTTACCGTTAACTGTTTCTACAACCTGTGACTGCAAAACCTGCCTCACAAATGGGTTACACTGAGGATGAGGTTCAAGGAGCCAGAAGCTAATTTTTTTTATAAGCAAAGCCTTAAAGTCTTTCATCCAGCTAGAATGTGCCAGCTTTTAGCTGTTATGATGAAAATTATAGCTAACTGCTTTATTACATGCTATAACAATCGCTATTACACCAACACATTTCCCTACACCCACCTCCACATACACAGCTGGCAATGAATTTCTAAATAAATTCTTAATTAAAACACACACACATACAAAAATCCCACTAAATCAAAGACGATGGCTTATTTGCTACCTCTTTAGATCTTCTGCAATGGAAAGAAGGGGCAGGAGGAGGGAAGACAGCACAATCTAAGCTACTGAGCATCGTCCCCTCCCCTGAACCACAATCTTTAGGTCAGAGACAGGCATGGAGCCTCCTCAGGTCAGTGAGATTCCAGAAGATGTTTGCTGGAAGCTTTTGAGCAAGTGGCCTCACTGATCTGAGAAAGCGCCCAGAAGAAATCAATTCCTTCCTTTTGTCTCTCTCTTTCTCCCTTCTATATGTGGACATGACGGCATGTAGGCCTCATCTGGGCTGGCAGTCATCCTCTGATCGAGAGAGCTGCCAGTCTCATAATGAAGTTGATGCAAAGCAGAGAAATGAAAAGGAGTTGCATCCTGCATGATAACTGTTGAGCTGTTGACTCAAACCAACCTCAAAGATTAGCCTACCTTAAACAATATATCCACTTCGGGGCTTAACCTGGTTTGAGGTCAGATTTTCTATTACTTGTGCCCAAACACACCCTAACCAATACAGGACATACCCAGTGTGCTATGTTGTCATACTTTTCTGAAGGCACAAAACATGGGAAAGTGTGGCAAAGACCTGTGTTGAGAAGCAAAAGTACAATTTCCATACTAATTGCAAATGGAAAAGACATTTTTCATTACTGTATTCACCACAGAATCAAAGCACTACTGTGACTCCATGAATCCTCCAAAGCAGATTTGCAGTGACAGGCTGAAACATGCAAAAGTAAATGCAATGAAAAGAAATCAGGTCATTTACCTGCAAACAATGCAACGTTGGCATGTTTGGCATCATAAGGGCATCTGGCCATTCCACTAAATTCATCCCCCAAAGGTTCCAAAGTATCCATCTAAACGAAATAATAGGACTTAATTATGAACAACCACAACGAACAGTAGTAATAGCAGGTAATATTTATTAAACACTTAATGTGCTAAGTGATTCATATGTATTCTTGCAAATAATCCCTACAAGTAACCCTCTGAGGTAAATCTACTGGTTTCAGATGAGGAAACTGAAGCTTACAGAGATTCAGTCACTTGACCAAGGTTCTACAGCTGGGAAAGTTGGAAATTTGGTCATATCTGAGTGACCCTTCACCATTACAAAAAGTTGATTACCAATATCCTTTGGGAATGGTCTAGAAATAAGTGCCTTTTCTGTTGGAAAGGAATTTCTGAGGCCATCACCTGAATTATCTGTTGAGTCATGAATTCTATAGAGAATGACCTCAGTTTTTGGTTTTGTTTTGCCTAAGAAGATCTGCCTTTGTGGGTTAAATCCCAATAGACAGACAATGGAATTTTTCTTCAGCTTAGCTGGCAGAATAGTATGGCATCAGCAAAGGTGCAAAGCCATGTACACAAGCACAGCTCAGCGGCCTTTTGCACCTACTTCGGAATCATGGAATGTTAGCTCTGAAAATGACTTTAGAAATGTGTCCCAGCCTCAAATGGTATAAATGGGAAAGGGGGACCCAGAAGCTGAGAGGCTCTCACAGGTCCAAAGCAGTGAAGAGTGCAGCTGGCATTTGACTTCATGTTTCCCAATGCTCAACAATGCCTTTATTCCTTTATGCTAAAGGTTGTAACTGGCCTGCAGATGAGTTTTATTCAGCAATTTTAGTATTATAAAAACTAAGCACAAATTTTAAAACAAACAAATTGTACATAAAAATCTAGATTTCTTGCCTCTTTTGAAAAAAAAAAAAAGGGAAAGTCAATTTAGGCCCCTCTTACCCAACTAGCTATAGCTGAGTAATGGTGCCCTCTTGCTTCAGATAAGCAAGTACTCTCCAGCCCCAAGGCCCCTTCACCCACAGAATATATTTATACCTGCTTGCTTCATTCTACAAGCTACCTGCCTAGACCAATAGACATTTGTAGGTGTGGCAGAACCTTGCTAGCAGTTCACCAAGCTTCATTCCCTTTCCTTGAGATCACATCAAACTACATTTCCCATCCTCCCTTGCACTCAGGTGTGGCCATGTGTCTGAGCTCTGGCCAATGGAAGATCTCCCAGGGTCCTCCACACTTGCTCTGTGCCCATATTTGCCCACCGGATACAGAGGATCCAGTGGAAAACGGCAAGACCCTAGGAGATGGCAGAACTATGCAAAGATAGAGCTTGGCCTTCTGAATAACCTCATAGAACAGAGAACACTTCTCGCAGACCCACACTCCACTGTGATGTGAGAAAGAAACAGACCTCTATCGTAATATCACTACATTAGTCAGAATTTGGCTGACCTTTACCAATAATACAGTGCTTCCTGCTGTCTCCTTCGTACTCTGATGTAGGAGTAAAGAAAAGGAGACCAATATGTCTCCTTCTCCTTACTTCATAGGATCTTCCTAGCACATAAAATCTCAGCTCCACTGAGTCCATAAAATGATCTCCACCTTAACCATTAACTGTTTTATACCACTTTGTGTTTTCAATCTTCTTTATAGTTTTAGCTTATTTTGTTTACACATTTGGGAGTTGGATGGTTTTACCACAGATATGAAAATGGAAAGAAGATGAACCTAAGGTAGCACTGATGCTGAGGAAGGAGATGCTGAAAGGCCTGTAGCATGAAATTAAGGTACTTGGAGTCGTTGCTCAGGAGGCAAGAGTGAGGTTCTCGTGAGCAGCAGTTACTGTCGCCAATTAATTTTATCTTTTACTCTAAATTCCGAAAAACAATTTGAGGAATGTGACAGACCTTTTCCATTCATCACCACCTTGAGAAGGCCCCTAAAATAAGCCATCTTATTATTATTATTTGACTGTAGAATCACAGAAAGCAGCTGTTAAAACATATATTTTTAGATGAAAGGTGTTCAAGTCAGACATCCTTCAAAGCAAAGCACTCTTCCCCCCAGCACATTTTTATTAGTCTTTTTCTGATGTTGTATCCCAAAAAAAGCTTCATGTTGGACGGTGACAGACTTTGTGGTCTGTGGGTCTGGCAAATATTCAAAAGTGATGCTTAGTACACAGTGATGCAAAGGAAATGCCCTTATCCCAAGCAGTGCATGCTGTAATCCTGCAGTGGGGAAACAATATGCCAGGGAGATTTTTTTTTTTCCATGTACCTACTTCTAAAAAAGTGGCTATAGCTGTAGCTAGTCAGAGGTAGAAAGTAGTGAAGGATTAATGTATTGGTTTGTGAGTTTGGAAAGGTCCAGAGACAAAACAATTCCATGGTGAAATCCTCTTCCCATGAAGTAAGAACTAATCCTTGTGGTAGTCATCAAATATTAGACTTAACAGCAGTCCCTGGGGGAATTAAATCACCATAGGATACAGATAGTTATACAAAGAACCAGCCTGACCTTCGCAGAAGTTCAAGAGGTTTAGAGAACAGGAGAGAAAAGGCATGGAGTGCAGTTTTAGATTTATAGTAGATAGCGTTCAAAATTCCTCCCCAGATAATCTTATTTGGGGCTGTAATCTTTCTAACACATTATGCCTATGTCTGTTATACAAATTATATAAACCACAGTGGAGGCAGAGATTGTCACCCTCCTGCTTCAAGTTACTCTAATCAACTTTTTGCTCTTGTTCTATAAGACTTAGGTTTTTTAGTGGAAAACTGGCCATTGTTTTTGCTATAACCCTTTGGTCCTGATGTGTTAAAAAAAAAATTAGAAGTGTTTATTAATGGAAACACACACACACACACACACACACACACACACACACACACACACACTTAAAAGAGAGGCTGTCCATTCTTCCTATAGCTAGATACATTATGTCCTGTGTCATCAACAAATTCCCTCTGTGCCCTGAGTCTAATAGAACCCCTTTCTGAGCCATGCCAACTCTTTTCACTGCTATCCACAGAAGCACGCATATAGATGGGACTGAGCATGAAGAACATCCCCATCTGTGGCTTCCAAAAGGCCCAGGCTCCTGGAATGGAACGTCTCAGCAGGTATGGCTAGAACAAGCAAGAGGTGAAGGTATCACTATAAGTGAGGCATCGTGGGGAATAGAACATTTGCGGGAAAAATGGGCTAGACCACTCACAGTCCATGTATCACAGTGCCAAGAAAACCTGTAATTTGTCATAAAAGACAGCCTTCCAGCTAGGGAATTCCTTTGGATTTGTTAGAAGCATTAATCTTAACAAGTTCTAAACAATGACAAACAGGGATGGAATATTAAGTGGTGTACTTGAAGCTGAATCGTCAGCTGTCTGCTGCCACTGGTTAGAGTAAATGCTAGGCAGGACTGGCTGCCTCTACTATAAGCTGATGGAACCTGTCTTTATTTAAAAGTTTGTCATTTTGTTCACGATGGAGTTTTCTTGCATTAATTTTTGATTTTCTAAAAATACTGCATTAGAAATATAATTTATCTTGATTACTGAATTTACGGCAACCCCTTAGATTTTGTGCCTGAGATGAGTGCCTCACTTGCCTCACCCTAATCCTGGCCCTGTTGGTGCCCATTTCCAAACATAAGACTAGTGGAGGATGAGTATGAAGGTAAGAGAGACCCTACGTTCAATGGCTGTGCAAAGAAAGGGCAGAGGGGCTTTAAAGCTCTCAAACCAAAGGCTGGTGAGACCTCCGGTTCTAGTTCCATCCCATTACTTCTTTTCTCGTGCTTTTGCACTCCCTAGGTTTCACTACTATGTGTGCTGATAAAACCGAAATCTGTATTTCTACCCATGTCTCTTTCTAAGTGAAGGCTTAACCGTTCATCTTCCTGCTAGATGTCTCTATTCACGTGCCACAGTTATTGCCATCCACAGTGTAGGCATACTCATCATGCTCAAAATCCAACTCCCTATCTCCTTACCATCCCTACCCAACACTGCTCTTCCTTTATCTTCTGTCTGGGTTGGTGGCAGCCCCATCCATTCACTCGCCCAAGAGAGAGCCTGGCAGTCATTCTTGATTCCTCCCTCTCTCCTTATCCTGGGCATCAATCATTAAAGCCTACTGACTTTTGTCACTTAGACATTTTCCTAAATCTGTTCTCTTCCCTTCATCCCTGGCCTCTTTCTTGTTATCACTTGTCACTTCACAGTCTAGCCCTTCAGAACCAAATGGAGTTTCTCAAGCGTAATAGGCTGTTTTTTTACCCCATGCCTTTGTTCATGCCGTCCCTCTATCTGGAATGCCCGTCTCCCTTCCGTTGGTTAACTTATACTTATCCCTTAAGACCAATGCCAGGCATTACCTCAGTCATTCATTTATTCCACAAACATTTATTGAGTACCTGGAATTAAGCACAGACACAGGCTCTGCACTCACAGAACTTACGAGTTTCTTATGAGTTAGACAGGAGTGTTCCATGCGTGAGAACAGTAGGTGGAACGTTTGAAGGGAGGGGTCACCTACCTCCTTCTGGAAGCCTTCTCCAGGCTAGGTTAAGTACTCTTGCTGTGCTCCCATAACACTCTGTTTCACTATGGCAGCAACCTCATGGAATTGTAGTTTCCTGCTCATTGTCTTTCCTCCCTAAGGGTGGGGGTCTCCTATTTGTGTTTACAACTTCAGGGCATGGCCATGGCAAAAACTCCATAGTCGTCTGCTGAGTGAAAGACTTGCAGAAAGAAGGGACAGGAACAATAACAGATGGAGAGCCAAGACCCTAGATCACTGCCATCTCTGCTCGCGCAGCTGGTGAGCTCCCTGATGGTTCAGTAACACCTCTACCAGCTGTGTCAGGACTAAATAGACTTACCAACTTGGAGAGTTATTTTCTTCTCCCCCTGCACAAAGGCCATGGTAAAGTCAGGCACTCTTCTCTGAGTGCTAAAGTGGAATTAAATTCCTGAGTTCTTTAAAATCTCAACTAGAAGAAAACCTACAGTTTCAAATGGCATGCTTTCGAGATTCCTTTTAAATTAGGACTCATTCACAATATATACGTGTTTTTGTGCTCATGGAGGAGACGATGGGGGTGGAGGGAGAAAGAGAGAAAAAGGAAATGCATATGGTACACGTGGTAAGTATGCTGTCTTCCAAACAATAAAGAATAGGGTCTTACAGAAACTAACTTTGCTGTGTAGGCTCTTTGAAGATGTGTCAATCAATTCTGAACAAACAGGAAGCTTAGAAGCCTGCTCAGGCTCACTCATGTGGAGCAATACATTAAGTTGAACAAGTGAGAGGAACCCCTGGGTGGTGTTGAATTACCCCTCTTAGGTTGCTGCAGGTATAATCACAGTCAATTATGAAATACCTCCTGGCCAGGTGGTTCCACACAGAGAAAACAGCATTTACCTTATAGTTTCGGCAGGAAGGGTTGAAGGCATTTGTTCCACAGACAAACAACGTATCATCATTTTTCTTTAGAAGAACTTTAATAAAGTTGTGACATTCATCCTGAAAAATAATTCAAACTTTTTTACATTGCTCCATTCAATATAGAAACCCATTCTTCACGTTATACCATGATCTGCTCGCAGGGGGTTAAAATGAAGGCAACTGAGGAGATCCCCTATAAAAGTTCCAGTTCCTGCTACTATTAACCAAAAACAATTGCTTTCTCAACAGCAAATAAAAACATTGTGCAGAATGGAAGAGTATGTTTAGGTAACAAGGAAAAAGCAAGTCTGCGGAGCGACAATCTCCTATCATAGTAATTTTAATGCCAGATGCTCTAGGGTCCCTTGATGTACAAGGCTCCTGGTTGAAGTGTGTTTTGATGTTGTTTTCTGACCAAAGGCACAAAACCCTGTATGTCTTCAGCAACCTTTTACGAGCTGTTCCCGAGTCCCCGTGGGAACTGGGCTGCGAGGTGGGGTTATCGGATAGTGCACTTGGAAGAGCTGGGGCAGCCAGCTTTGTGCCCATAATCCCTGGTGCGCTTAAGTAGTTCATGATGCAGCCCGAGCAGCTGTCGCAATGTTTCATCACATTAAAAGCAAACTATTTCTGCAAATTAAAGCCTTCAATAAGTTGATGGAAAAAGCAATTACTGGGGAAAAAGCGAATGGCATGATCCATTCCATATCACAGTCGATGGCTAGAGATAACAGTCAAAAAGTTAACCCAAAGCGGCAGCTGCAGGAGAAATGAAAATTGCCTACCTTATGTTTTCCCTTCATTCTGCACGTGTCTACATCAGCCTGTCTAGATTTCCATGTCAGTTTCTGCCGGGATCAAGAAAGAAATCAATTAGAGTACAGAGGGTTGTTGCATTTGATTTTAGAAGTAAGAGTTCCCTTGGGGAGACCGGAGGCTGAACATATATATTTATTGAAAGCTTTCCGCACCCTTTCTCCGTGATTAATTCACCACAGCAACAAAAGATTAGAGATGGAAACGTTCATTTAATTTTGAACTATCTATTCATTAAACTACAAAATGATCTTCTCTTTGAGATAAAGATAAAGGAGAAAGGAAAGAAGAATAAACAACAGAGTGGAATTTTCACATAAAATATTCCAAATTAACTTGCTAAATTATACTCATTTTGATAAAACCTATGTCCTACCCTTTCTTTTCAGTTGATAAACCAATGTCTGTAAAGCAGGCTTTTTCCTTAAAATTTGGAAGCAATTTTCCTATGCCTAAAGGGGACGTTCACTTTAGGTGGACAAATATTTAACTCAGGTTATTCTCCTTCATAAGGAGCTCTGGTGGCACAGTGGTTAAGGTGATTGACCGCTAACCAAAAGGTCGAGTTATGAAACCACCGCGGCTCCATGGGAGAAAGATGTGGCAGTCTGCGTCCGTAGAGATTTACAGCCTTGGAAACCCTGTAGGGTCCCCATGAGTTGGAATCGACTTAACGGCAGTGGGTTTTTGGGTTATTCTCCTTTATGTAAGTTACTGAACTGAAGGAATTGTCTACTTCTATGTACAGATTTTGTCAACTAAAATACCCCCATGTGGAGTTACAAGGAAAGTTAGGTTATACTTTATGTCTGCCTGAAATGGACAATGAACAAATTCCTGAACCACCACAATCAAATGAAACTTAACACTGCAAGGCATGGGAACATAACATTGAAACATTTCTGGAATACATTTGTGGGATAAAACTTTACATATGAAAATTGGTATTTTTCTGGCACAAACGTGGTAATATACTATTAAATAAATTTAGAAACTACCTAACTCCAAAATACATGCACACCTACTCGGGCTTCAACCAGTTTGTTCTGGTTCGAACCCCTGCTGAGAATTTGCACTCCTAACAAGTTTCCAGGCTAACACTGTTGGTTAGGGACCAATTCTGAGAACCACTAGTAGAGCAAAAACCAAACCAAACTTGTTGCCGTTGATGAGTCGATTCCAACTCATAGTGACCCTACAGGACAGAGTAGGACTGCCTCATAGGGTTTCCAAGGAGTGACTGGTAGATTCAAACTGCTAACCTCTTGGTTAACAGCCAAGCTGTTAACCTCTGCACCACCAAGGCCCCCCTAGTAGAGCAGTAGTTCTCAAAATTTATTATACACCTAGAGATATCACCGGGGGAAAATCAACTGGGGATCTTGTTAAAATGTAGATTCTGATTCAGTATATCCAGGGTTGAAATGCAAATTCTCATCAGGGGTTTGAACTGGAACATACTTAATGAATAACACATGAAGTACCTATTTCTGAAAACTTATTAAGCCCTAACATACTCCCAGATTAGAACCCAGTTGCTGTCAGTTGACTCTGACTCATGGCGACCCCATGTGTGTCAGAGTAAAACTGTACTCCGTAAGCTTTTCAATGGCTGACTTTTCAGAAGTAGATCGCTAGGCCTTTCTTCCAAGGTGCCTCTGGGTGGACTCAAACGCCAATCTTTTGGTTAGCAGGCGAGTGTGTTAACTGTTTGCACCACCCAAGGACTCTACTCTCAAATTAGGATCCATAGAATGCATGCTGGTATTTCCATATTATTTTTAATGACATCATCTCAGTAAATGTATTTAAAATACTTAATTCTCTTCAAGTACTATCTTACAGCCCTTCTTTTCAGAAAGGTTTTAAAACTACTTACTTTGCTACAATAAATTTCTTCTGTGTGTGATGTGTCTATATCAACAGTATAAATATGGTCCCTGTAAGTGAAGAAAAATTAATATGAAGTCAAACACAATACACAAACACAAGAGTCAAGACAGTTTATTTTCTACTGAATGAAGTTTTATCTCATTCAAGACAAATAAATCCATATCCATGTTATTAAAATAAACAGGCATTCACATGCAAGAAAAAGAGCCCAGCCTACAAGAGACGTTCTGGATGACATTCAGCATCTTTCTGATGAAGCGCACATCCTGCTTTAAGGAACACCTTTTATGGAAAACTTTTCTGTAGTTAGTATTCTCTCTGATACGAAAACTACAGCATCTGTATATATGCAGTTCAGGAAAAAGGACTCTGAACGTTAAACTGGTCCAAAGACTGGAAGACAAACGGATTCACATGCCCTTTAAGTGTCTTCAAATCCATGTACCAAACGGTTGGTATTCAACATGCCACGTTTGTCCAGCAGGAGGGTTAACAAAAAGCTTATCTCCTGCTTCATCTCTCTTTAGAAAATATATTTCCAGTCTTAGCTTTGATGATTTGATTGACAAGATGGAAAGGAAAAAAGATAATGGAGGTAAAATTATTTCCAGAAGCCACTCTTTTCTTCCCACAGTGATGGTCAACTAAGGTCTAAAATGTACCTGAGCCAAGGTTTACATTTCTTGCTTCTGTTCACCTTCCTGTTTTGCTGAAAATTTGGTTCTCTTTACAACTGGCTGCCAATCTCCCCTTGGAAGGGGAGAAACAGAATCAGCAGCTCAGGTGTGGGGCTATATTTAAACATCCCCTTCTGTGCGAGCTGAGTACAAGGGCGTTTTTGTCTGGAATTCAGAAGAAAGAAAAGAACTACACTCAACTGGGGAGATGAGGGGCTAGTGAGGGAAAGCAAAACAGCTCATTTTTCCTTGAAATAATATTGACTTTTTCTAAAATGCAGGAAATCCTGGGGCTGGGAAATCACCCACAGCTTTAAACTAGGGCCTTGAGGCTCTGATGCAGACTTTCAAGCCCGCTCATTATTAGAAAGAGAGATAGGAGAAAATTATTTCCTTAGAATACATTTCTTTTTTTTTTTCCTTCTGATCTTGGGAAATCTGTGTTTGCTACTGCTTTTAGGGAAAGTACAACAGAGAAAAAAATAATATAAAAAGAGGCTATCTCACATGAAAATAAAAGGAGGGGGCGGGGCAGTTGGCTTACAAAATTCCCTTGCCTGCCATGAAACCTTGAGTGTGAGTGTGTGTATGTGGAAGGGTGGTGAGGTGGAGGATGGGGAGCCTGTTTTGTAAATTGCTGAACTGGAATGTTTCTTCAAAATTCAGTAGGGTGCCAGAATCACCCTGCCCTTTAATTTCAAGGCAGTTTTATTGCATTCATTTATTACTTGCTTGACTTTATTGTTGGTGCATGGTCAGGCTCATTACTGGAATGGAATTGCCCATTACTTTGGTATCAGATTTGAGATGACTCTAGGCTTTCCCTTGCCCTGCCTCCCCTCAAAACTTAAGTAGGAGCTGAATATAAATGAACTGTAAATTAACACTGATTAATATGCATTGGCAACTCCTCAGAAAGCTCTGGGATTGCCCCTTCTGGCTTGGCCTGTTTATGTTAATTAGCAGTTTAGAGATTTACCAAAAAAAAAAAAAAAAAAAAAAAGAATTTATAAAGTGGATAATAATAAAGCAGAATTGAAAGGGGTTCTTGCCACCAAGCCTCACTGAATCCTCGGTTTCTGGATGGGACTTGGCTTCCGATTACTGACACCAATTGTTTAGAAGAACTGGGAAGCCTTTTTAAAATAGAATTGCATGAATGAAATCTCCTCTTGGACAATGGCAACCTTTTTCAACATCCAAAAGATCACATTACCCCAGCAAACAGAAACAGCGCTTTATGGAGTAAACCACAGATCAGGATCAGGGGTTATTCCCAGCCATCATGTGTTCGTCCCAGGATTCACACACTGCACTTGCTGAATTAAGTTATTTGAACACAAACTGACTTAATCCTACTACTTCCTCTTCCCCTCTCCACGGAGCAACACTGAATTGTGGGTTGCCATGGTTTGAGCTTGGGGGAAGGATTTAACTTTAAATCGTGTTACATGCTGCCTAGGAACCTGGATCTCTCAGGGCAAAGTTGGGAAACATGAAATTAAAAAGAGAGGAGAGGCCCTAAATATGGTGGCCACAAAGCTACGTTAGGGATTTGTCCAAGGACAAGTATTGGGGGAAGTGGCTGAGTATGGAGTGAAAACCAACATGCCAGTGAGAGGGTGTTACAAATTTGACCTCTAACCAAAGTCAATTCAGTTTTATAGTTTTTAAAAAATGACTTCTTTTTCTTCCTTTTCCTTCAACTTCTTCTTTCTTTTCTTGAGGGAGAGGATTAGGAGAAAACAGTCTTGGTTTCAATGAGCTGGAATAATGGTCACCTTTAAGTTTGCACAGCACCTTGCTCCTTACTCACCTGTACTACAGTCATGCCTATGCTACGTCACTGGGCACAAGGGCAGTCTGTATACCATTTTCCCCACCAGTGACACAGCTGCTAAGTGAACAATTCATAGGAGATTCTTGAGTCAACCTACTTCTCACAAATCCAATGTTCAATCATTTGTTTTGATCCGTCTTTAGGTAATTGGGTACAAATGTAATCTTCCAGGTCTGCTACATCTAAAAAACTAAAAACGGTATTTATGAAGGAGCTGCTATCTCCTGGAGAGGCGGCTACTGACGACCTTATTGGCATGCTTTTTAACAAGTACCCACAATGCTTATTTTTTTTGGCAGCGGCTATTAGAAGTTTATTTTATGATCAGGGCAAATAGTACCACCTCTCCTGCTTAGTGTGCAGCACAGTATGGCAAGTAATAGCACGGACTCTAGAACAAGATCAACACGGTTCAAATCCTGCCTCCATCATACTGGCCTAGTCATTTAACCTCTCTGTACCTCAGTTTCCTCCCTTAAAACATGGGATAACAATAGCTCCTTCTCATAGGGCTATTTGGAGGATTGAATGAGTTAACATTTATAATTTACAATTATATTTGCAGCTTACATAGCACATACAACTGGTAGGTTCTATATTAAGTATTTGTGAAATAAAAATAAAAAAATTTTTTGGCAATGCTTTCTGTAACCAAATTTGGGGTACTCTCAAGGTGTTTAGAAAATGCTTTTTTAATTTCATATTGCAAAGTTTGTAACTTCAGAACATCTATCTACGTACTTTAAAAGAATCAAGCACTGTTATTTATCTCTCGTTACCTATCTCATAGCCAGGTAAGTATCACAAACATAATTTCTATTTCATCTTCCCAGCATGAAATGACTAATCAGTCTAGATTCAGGTAAGATCACAATGAAACCGCATAAGAAAGGTAGTACTCCCACTCACTGTTCATTTATAACTATTCTGAATGAGCTATACAATCCAAAAATGGAGGGAATTATATATTGACGGAATCCCAAGCGACTTCATTAAGATAATCTAATCCAACCTTTCATTTAACAAAGGAAACTTATGGGCAGATAAGTTGTCATCCAACTAAATTAAGGGCAGAATTAGAACAAAAGCCTAAATCCATGGGATCCCTGTTGAGGCAACACTCGTAACATGCCATTCAGTCTTAAGACATGAACTATCTAAATGAGATTTCCTCAATGGATGAGTAGCCTCTTAGTAGAGTCAAATAAAAAACCTTTCTCTTATATATTATATTTATGCTTTCGTTGGATGCCATTGCCAGTCTGTCAACAAATGATATATACTGATGTTCACTACACAAATGCCAGCAGATTTAATACACACACACCTACACATGCACTGTGTAAATACATGTTTATATGTTCAACTCAATTTAATATACAAGTATCAAGGAGCAAAGCACTCTACTGGGTGCTGAGTAAATATCTGCATATATGTTCAGGATAAACAGGGGATTATTTGGGTTTAAGCTCCAAAATATACAATTATTTCTATCTAAATCCACATAAAGCTAAACAGACACAGAAAATCTTGAAAGAATGATTGCTTGATGAACTAAAGTAGCCTTTAAATTAAATAAGGCTTTGTGTGGGAACCTCAAAATCTGAAAAATGATGCATAGCCAGGACTTTGGACTTTTGGACGTACTGAAGGCAGATGTGAAGGAAAAGTCACTTACCGAGCAGCAACGTAGAGTGTTCTATTCATGATCATAATCATCTGGATGTCCAGTCTGTGCCTCTGTGTGGTGTTCCGTCCTGGCTTGTGGCCCACAAACACCGGATACTGTTTTGTATCTGTGAAAAGAGGAGATGGGGCAAGAGAGGGAAGAAGAAATCAAGCCAAGAAATGATAGGGCAGGGGTGGGTGGGTGAGTAAAATCATGTTTAAGTCAGACCATGCCACCATTTCCATCAGAAATACTATGACAGAATAGTACTCCTTAAGGCTCATCAAGTTACAGTTTAATTTCCGGATGATAATAAGCAATAAGCCTGGACTTACAGTTCTAAGTGTCACAATTCCTCAGTTGTCTCTCTTTCTAGGGGTTAAACCTGCTAGTGAACCCTTCGCAGGAAGGTGCTCTTTTCTCCCACAGTTTTCTTTTCATCTTCTGTAGAGTGCTAAGCCCGAGGGGCAGTCTGCCAAAGATCTTGTCTCGGGACAAAACTATTTCAAAGCAGCCTTCCCATCAATCACCACAAAGGCAATGTGGTCTGGAGGCGAGAGCCTTCATCCAGGAGCCAGAAGAAAAATACAGTCTCCACAGGCGTCCAGTTGGAATAATCCACTATTGAAGGCTGCCCCATTAGGTTGGCTGGCATTCTAGGAACGGTAGAAAGTTCACTCCCGAGTTGAGCAATTGGCTAATCTCACAGAAATGGAGGCTTTGACAGGACAGGGTCAAACTGAGTGTAGCCAGTAGGGTGGATCTGGAATTTTCTCTGACTTGGGCAGTCAATGAGCGTATTTCTCTTTTCCTACAGTTCTCTTTGATTAGGAATGGGCAATTTGTAATAATATCTGACCTTTAGAAATACCTACATCTCAACATCTCTGCCTTTAAACCTACAATCTCCAGAACTCTGGCAATCTTCCAAAGAAACTAAGGAGGAAAGAAAGATGAGTCATATTTAAAAGGCAGTTGATTTCCAGGGGTGTAAATAACGAACAAAAAACCATTCACAGATTAATGCTCAGACCCCTACACGTTCAATATTCTAGCATCTGAGCACTACTCTCAGTAGGTATCTTATTAGAGAGCCCCAGTATCTTTCACTCACAATCAACTTGGTATGGGATTATCTTGTGCTTTTCCTGCTCTGAAACTTCATTTACCTATTCACTCATGAGCTTGCTAGAACAATTCATGTTTCTCTACTATCATGGACTTGAGTGATCATTTAGGTATGATTTTCAGCAGTATATTTGGGTTGAAGAGCCTTTTGGATGTGGCAAAAAAGACAGAAAATCTTTTTGAGTGGAAATCATTAAATGCTTATTAAGTTTTTATACCTTGAGTTAGGTGGACTCTGCCACTTTGAGAGTGATGATCTTGAACCACATAATTGGGTCCTTCATCATGCCCTTTGACCTTTTGCTCTCTAGTTGTTTTGTCAGTCTTGCCTCCTCATCTTCATGTGAAAATATCTTCTTTATCAACCCAGAGGGTCCAGAGAGAGTTGGGTGTTAAAGGAATTCTTAGTGTCCCATATTAATGTTCAACACCCTTTGTCAGGTTCACTCAGTTTTTGTGTTGAGATAATTACTGGGAAATAAATATTTAGGGAAAATGTTCTCTCTCACCTTTACTGTGATAAAATACTTTGTCTTTTGGAGGGCAGGAAAAAAAGTAGTAAGTCAGCTGTTCTGCCCAACACCCAGGTAGGACTTTTCTGTTTTGAGGGGACAAATGAATTCTTAATTATGCTGGTTATCTACCCGTGACAGTAAGGCAGAGACCAACAGAAAGTCTATAAACAGTTAAAATAGGTCCTTGGTGAACTAAAAATCACTCTCAACTCAAGTCTGGCAAGATAGAACTTCTAAGTATGGGGGAAAAAATTAATCTTTTTGTTTCTAACTTACTCCAAAATGCTCATTATTTTTTGCTCATACCTTGTAACAATGTCCATACATTAACTGCATATGAAAATGTATAACACTGGCAATACCCATATGATAGTGATATTCTCCCACACAGCTGGTTTAAATCAGGATAACAGTCTCCATGTAGTAGTTGAGACTTGATCGAAGGTTTTAACAAAAGTTTCAAATCCTACACAGATCCATCTCCACAACAACATATAATGGAGTTATATAACAGTCATCCCACTAATGTGACTAGACTTGAATTATCCAGTTTTGTCATTCACATGGCTTAAAAATGACTAACAAATCTTATATTTTTTTATTTAATATTATTTTGTTGTGTTTTTGGTGAAGGTTTACACAGCAGTTTAGGTCCTATTCAACAGTTTTTACACAAGTTGTTCAGGGACATTGGTTACATTCTTCACAATACATGAACAGTCTCATTATGTCTGTTCTGGTCGTTCTGTTTCTATTAATCTAGTTTCCCTACCCCTTTATGTTTTCATCTTTGTTTTAAAGTAACTGTTGACTGTTTGGTCTCATACAGGTGATTTTTAAGATAAATCTTCTGTATTTTTAAATATTTTATTTTTATTGTTTACTGGTTGCTGCATGCTAAAATGTCCACAAAGAGAGAGACAGCAAGAGTAACATTGTGGGTACTTACAGTTGCCATGCGAAATACTGATTGGCTCAGAATCTTCTGGGAAACCAGCCCCAGCAAAGTGTAGCAGTGTGAAATATAGCAGCAAGGCTTCTGACCTCATAGTAGTTCAGCGGGGAGACTTTATTTCTCTACTTCACCCTACCAAAGAGCAGAAAGGGGATTTTTTTTTTTTTTCCAAGTCATCTTTATTCAACTCCATAAAATGAAATGACCTTGAAGATAAATTCAAGAGAAAAGGGGCCACTGCTTCCCCATCTTTTCCATTGTGAGCTCCACTGATTATGTTTTACATGAGGAACCTGTATCCATTGCCCACTGTACCTCCTTCCTCATGAACCTGAGCCCTTTTGGAAAGCTCCTCCCAAATGCGTGACATACAGCCTTAGTTCCTTTGTTGTAAGCCGTCTTTAAGTCCATTATGGACTGCTACTTCACAGTTAAGAAACTCTACATTCCAAAAAAAGGCGGACAACTGAAAAGCATCTTCTTTTTACTTTTTAAGGTAAATAAATACCTTTCTTTTCTCAGCAGGCTTGCAGAGAGAGATTAAACTACCATCCCCTAAACATGTTTTGTTTGGCCAGCCCATGGATCTTTCAAAAATTTGTAGCTACCAATACTGAAAAATTAGGAGATTTCCGATAATAATCCAGATTTCCAACTTCTTTTGACAAATCCGAATATCTGTTATACTAACCTAAATGGCAGTTCTCCTCAGACACCACACACCCACCCCAACACACACACACACACCCACCTAGAGCTCACATGGAAAACTGGCCCTGTTCTTTCATATCTACTACCCACGTCACCCTTTTAGTTGAGATTCTGACCCCTGGTTAATATAATTCCACGGTGACCCTGGACATAAATAAAGTGACACCATAATCTCTATGTTTAAAAAAGAAATAAATGTACCCTTTCAGACCCTGTGAAGAGTATAATCGAGAAAATCTGAAACCACATCCTTAAATGGTATTGTTGATTAAAAAAATTATATTCATATATATTTTAGTCTCAATTACTACCTTGCAATAAAACAAGAGTGAATTAAAATGCCAGAATGTACTATTGTATCCATCTGTATTTTCTTAAAGATGCTTTTTATGTACAGAAAAATTATCCTAAATCTTGGAAATAAAAACAATCCCACGTGGGGCTGCCAGATACAGTGAAAAAAGACTCATAATACAGTGAACATCACATAGTTCTCAGGCACATTTTGAGTAAGTGTTGATCTATGAAGGAAATTAATGTAAAATGGGGATATCTTTTCATCTTCCCAGAGTAATAAAGCCTTTGAAGTAGCCTACCGAAGATTATCTTTTTTTGAACAAAGCTATTTTATGGTGGTCCAGCAATCATTTAAGATTTGTTTGTGTAGAAAAGTCATACGTAGTAACCCAGGTGTCTTTGAAAGTTAATTTAGCAAACAAATGCTAACTTGTGCTTTTTAGAACACCATTTAATATCAGATACCTGTGTCTCTCTTCTTCATGCCAAAAAAAGCATTAACAAGTCCCAAGTGTTGCACTGCAACTTATAATTTCACAGACACAGCTGGGGCTTAATCATTTCTTCAATTGAAAAGTGCACATTAATTAATTTGCTTTATCTTGAAAATCAAAGAGGGAGAGAGGTTGAGAGAAAAGCTCTAAACAATTCCATATCTCCATCTCTGATGTGTAGATTAAAATTAAACTTTAAACGATTACTTGTTCACAAGGGTGATCCATTACCAAGAGACATAAACATGTATTTATAGACAGGTTAAAAGCAACAGTCTATTTATTCATTCATTCGCCAGTTCTCCCATGTTGTGGAGAATCTCCACCTCAAGGAAAAAGGTTCTGAGGTGCCTCTATTTGCTTCTCATGGCTCCTGTTCAGTATAACATTACAGGGGAGGAATCCATAGCAAGAGTAAGTAAAATATAAACCAGACACCAGTCAGCTGTTAACGTTTTAAATGAGAAAATGTAATACGGGGCAAAGGAAGAAGAAGTAACATTCACCTCGGGCTCAAGAGCAGCACTTCAGTGTTATACAGAAGCATATTACCTCAGAGAGTTTGCAACATGTAAGAGAAGAATAAAGGAGACTTGAAAGGCTGAGTCTCGTTCCTTTAGAAATCCTGGGAAATAATGCTCACTTTCAAGGATTAAGTTTTCTTGAATGACAAACTAGTCTCTATCCTTCCACAATTACGTTCATATTTGTACATATGACCTACAAGCCAACAAAACGAAATCATGCTAGTTTATTACACTCCCCAGTTTTAGTTCTTTCTGTCTTAAGATTGAATGGGTCAGATGCAAAATTTACAAACCCAGAAGCCAGCAGGAAGAGCAGAAGAAATATGTTATGCAATCCAATGGCTTCTTTTATTCCTTAGACACAGCAAGGATCATGGCAGAGATGGGTCATTTAAATATCTCCAGGTTTCCAGTGGGGCTCTATGCCAGGAGAAATAGTTGTTTTATGTGTATTTCTATCACATCATCAGGTAGGTAACATGTCTATCCTATGGATGAAAGTGTTCTGAGCACTGATTAATCTTGACCCGTCCACAGGAACACTTCAAAATTTTCTTCACCTGATGTTTTGATGCATTATTTGCCTCCTACTCAACCTTGGGTCCTAACCCTTGTAAATATGTAGACAATATATTTTCTTGTTGAAATGATTACTCTGTGGAGGGATCCCAATTCTATCACACGGTCATTTCCCATCCTGGGTCTTGCCCCCTAACACTACAGGAATACAGACTTGTACCAGCTGAGGAAAGCAAAACAAACAAAAGCTTTCCATTGAGTTTCAAAACCTAGAGCTAGCTTAGCTGCTGCAATTAAAGAGGTTGTTTAGGTAATTTTCAAACCTCTGAAAAGTGCTACCCACATACAGCATATTTATAGGTAACTGCAGACATCTGTCGATTTCCCTGTCTGTGGCTGTGCTTATATAGGTTAAATATGGCTTAGATTTAAGCAACTATCCAGAAAATCATATAAGGGAAGATTATCAATATGAAAGATTCTAAACAAAAACAGTTATTTCCTCTTATGCCTGAATTTTCCATATAATTGTCTCAACCTTCCACTTTTCTTAGCCTGAATAGAGTGGTCTTTGTAAAATGTACCATTACTATAAAGTCAAAATCCTACTCTGTGTCTCAGCCCACAAAATTCATGGAAAACCTAAAGAACCTTCTTAATTTTAATAGGCACTGCTTGGTGAATTTATTAGTTCTATTTAGGTTCAATTAAAATTAATTACACAATTTTATTGTGAGTCCGATGGGAAAGGTTTGTGTTGACTTTGCACGCAATGAGTCCAGACAAAAATACTTCTTACTTTAGCTTTCCCCCTGAAGTCCCCAAGACCAAACTGAATAATAGCACTGTGATACACAACTGGTGTTGGGACTCTTGGCTACCATGAGCCAAATGAACTGTGCTGCATGCTACTTGGCCAGGGATGGCCTTCAGGTATTTCAGACTAAAGACCAAACACAAGAAGTTAGAAAGAGGTTTGTATGAAAATCCTGTGAATGCATTCGTGCTGATAATTGTTTTTTTTTTTTAAAATAATCAAATCTTAAAAAAAAAAAGAATCAAATCTTTTCATTATCTGGAACTCCCATCAACCTCCACTTGCCAAGTCCCCTGGTGGTTCAGCTGGTCATTGTGTCAACAAAACATGGAGCAAAGGGAATGTCAGGGGTACTGAGAACAATGAATGTTGGAGAACGAGGTTATAAACTGCCACACCTCACTTCTGATCAGCCAGAACAATTTCATAGGAGCCACGGGGGCTACGAAAACATGACAAACCTACTCAGCCAGACACGCCTATCCCTAACACTAGTTCTAATCCTCTGACACCTCCTTCCTCAAATCTGCCCCCAGAAAATCATGCCAGGGCTCAGAAACTGTTAGCACTTAGGTCAAAGACTTAAAAACAAAACTGAATTAGTTGACAGAATTTAGAAAAAAAAAAATTGGAGATTAAAAATACAACTCATTTCTGGCTTCTTAAAAAATAAAAATAATCAGAGATCTGGCTTTGCTGGCCCACATTCCACATGGCTACACTCGAGTGTGGTCGCCCAAGTCGAGGGGCTTGCCCGGTCCTGCTGGAAACAGTCCCACGAAGCTTACTTCACCCTGCTAATCTCTGAAGGCTTTGAGGGCGACTTATACGCCACCCAGGTAAAGACATACCTGTTGCTGCATGGGGTTATCTGTAAATTCCTACGTGTCACGTTTAGCAAATGGACCTAATGGGACTCAATGTCCATACACACAAATGAAGTGACTTTGTTTTAAGATCCAACAGGGTAGCTCCACACACAGTCTGCATGTCCAGCGGCAGCAAAGAATGCACCCATAGGCTTGGCTGTATGGACATAACTGGTGTCTGATTTGGTACACACATTGGTATCCAATGACCTTTCTAATAGTAAGTGGTAATGATGAAGAAAACAATTTATCTGGTAACTTACAAAAGCACAGTGCTCTTGATAACTGTAAGTATAGCCTTGAAATAGAGGAAATTACAGTTAGTGGCACTTTCTTTTCCAGAGGACAGTAATTTTACTGCCATGTGTAGCAATTCCTTTAAAAAGTACATTTCCTACATACATCACAGGAAGTTGTTAAGGTAATCAATAATTCACACTGTCATTAGTAGGAGGAAGGTCACTCTGTGGACACAGGACAAGTCACGTAGTCTCCCTGGCTCTGTTTTCTCATCTATAAAATGAAAGGACATGGAAAGTGATGGTCTATAAAAACTCCTCCAGGCTCTGAGCTGTAACTATTCTAGGTGGTTCTGCCCAATAAACAAGGGGGGTGGATGTGTGGTAGCGGTTAGGGAGGTCAGCTCGCGGAGTGCCTGAGCCAGGCCAGTCTATTCTAACGCTCCATTTTAACACATTTCCAAGGCCACCAGCACCAGATGGTGGTGTAGGGTTGGAGCAAGAGGAGGACCAAGGCAGCCCAAGCTAGACAGGGTGGGGTCTAGAGCTGCAGACACCTTCTCTGGTTTGGGTTTCTTTGCCCTAAAAAGCAGTAGGAAATGTAGCTGGGCTTTGGCTGGTGGAGTGTCAGATGCTCTCTGAGATTAAGACAGAGGTCA